ATAACCTGACTCTGGTGTTGTGTCGAAACTCCTCAATGAGTGGAGGTCGTCCGTCTCACGAAAGTAGCATTCCTCCCCATCGTAGTTGATGGACGGATCGACATGCGCAGGGGGTCGAGTTTGCATGCGCTGAGATCAGAGCGCAAGGGTTTTGGATTCCTCCTGTGCCTCAGTCATATCTCTCGTGACACCGACGGTCCTGTGATGATTGTCGGGCTCTAAAGTTTCCGGGGCTGTTGTCAAAGTAGCGCAACACATGCCAGACCTTCTGGACGAGGTTCGTGCGCGCACTCTCCCGGATTTTGACGTATAGCCCCTAAATGCGGGGCGCCAGAGGTTGAACTTGACCAGACGTTGAACTTGCATCTGCCCGCTATTGCTTTCCTTCCGCAACATCTGAATCAAGCGCATGGTTTCCTTCTGCTCAAGTTGACGGGTTGCGAAGGCGTCTGTAACAAGGCTACTTGCGTCGGTTCGAATGTGTAAGTCGGCAATTGCGCATGTGATGTCTGACCAGACACCGCAAAGAAACGTGATGAACGGTAACAACGCATCAGCCTGTGCAATTCAGCATCTGTGGTGGACAGGGTGGTAGCAGTGATCTTGTGCATCTCAGAACCGATCAGAGAACTTCTCGAGCTCGATGAGCCTTTGCGAAGACCGCGTTCTTCAGCAAGAAAGATAACAGCGTCGGGATGACTTGTCCTCACTATTGCAGCAGGATGCGTCAGGAGAACCGATATGCGAGTCTTGCCACGAAGTGGCAAGAGTCTCATGCTATGATTGTATCATTCATGGCGCGAATGGTTGGGGATGCTGCTCTGAACGCTTCTCTTTCCGTACGCGTCTCAGGTGTCAGCGGAGTTCAGGTTCTTGTCAAATAGAGCCTCCTGTAGTTCACCAATGGCAACATTCTGATGGGCATTGATGTGCCAACCGTGCTTGGCGTCACGCTTCCACTGGCTGCGTTGACCAACGAAGAGACAATCATTTTTGTCTTCGGACCAACTTGAAAATCTTGACGAAGTTGTCCCATGGTTTCCTTCTCAAACACATCGTCGCCGGTCATAACAAGATCATCTACGTGAAGAGAAAGTGCTCCATGAACTTGTCGGCTCCGCAACTGCGCCTTCTAAACCAAGCAAGTCGGATGATGTCTTTTCACGGATTGGTGTGGATTTCGGAAGCTGTTTACCATAGTGAACTTATGTACACTGTTCTGCTTATGCTGGCACGAGTCCATAGGATCGAAGCGCCGAACCTAGGGTGCTTTTCCCAGATCTCTGTCCAGGCGGGATGGTTTCATCACCCTTTCTTGCATTGGCGCTGTTTACCTTGATGAGTCAAGTTTCGAGACCAAGTCCAACCATTGCCCCAAACGATGGAAACGAGTTTCTCCTTTGGCAAATGCCCTTTTGCTTCCATCGGAACAAATCTTGGATTTGACGTCTGCCGATATAATCTTGCCCTCCACCTGAAGAGGTTTGTCCGTTTGTCTTCGGATTGACGAGCTTCTTGGAATGCTTGCCTGGACCTGCCTTTTCGTCCTTGAGCGATTTGTCGGAGAAAGTGAAGATGGTCTTACCTTTCCACAGGTTCACCATAGTTTTGCGTTCTGGGATGAAGTCTCCAATTCTCTTCAAGAATGTCTGGTTCTCCGCCGCTAGGTGCATAACTATCTAACCAGGACCAGTTGGACATTCCTTAGCTCTTGATGGCGTGAACTGGTCTTCAAGGCATGATATGAAAACAGATAAGCTACTCGTACTTGTTCTTCTTGCCAAGTTCTCAGATTTGATTATCTTCGGCGTTGCCGTGTCCTTCTTTGTCTCAGATGACTTGGATGCGCAATCAAGCTGTCATCGACCATCAATTTATCCGTGGAATTTCAGTTGTTCGACTGAAGCAAGATCGACGAGAGCATGTCCTGTTCCGGATATTGGAACCGCTTGACGGTCCCTTGCGGTGTGATCTTGCCACACTGGGTGAGGAGTATTATCAGTCGATGTTGTCGTGTGATACTTGAGGTGCAAAGTCCAATTGACCTTGGCTGTCTCCCATCTGTTGTGTGGGATTGCATAGGTTGGATTGTTCTGTGGGTTGAGGACATTTCGTCGCCGAAGTGCTGTGATTGCATGTCCTGTGCTAGAAACTTTGGCTCACTCCGCCGACATTGTCCTCTCCCTTTTCTCTCCCTTGTGTGTTCTGTTGTCCTCTCTCCCTCCCTCCGCTCCCGATCCTCCCCATCCCCCCAAGCCTCTCTCTCCTCAATCTCCCTCTCTCTGTCTCTCTCTATCTGTCTCTCTCTCTCTCACTCTCTCGAGCGAGAGAGAGAGAGAGAGAGAGAGAGAGAGAGAGAGAGAGAGAGAGAGAGAGAAACAGAGAGAGAGAGAGACAGAGAGAGAGAGAGACAGAGAAAGAGAAAGAGAGAGGTAGAGAGAGAGACTAGGTCCTCCAGTAGAGATGTTAGAACGAGGGTACCCTTTTTCTGGTGGACAGGAAGGAGACAGGGAGACAGAAAGAGACAGAGAAACACAAAAAACTCTCTCTCTCCCCCGCTCCCTCCCTCTCTCTCTCTCCCTCTCCCTCCCTCTCTCTCCCTCTCTCTCTCTCTCTCTCTCTCTCTCTCTCTCTCTCTCTCTCTCTCTCTCTCTCTCTCTCTCTCTCTCTCTCTCTCTCTCTCTCTCTCTCTCTCTCTCTCTCTCTCTCTCTCTCTCTCTCTCTCTCTCTCTCTCTCTCTCTCTCTCTCTCTCTCTCTTTGCAGGGTCACGTCCCCCCTGAGTTGCCTCGATGTCCGGGCACTGGCCCTTCATGACCCTGAACTGTCGTCTCACAACTGGCTTTCTTCTTGATTTCCCCTTCATGTCCTTTTCACGTTTCTCATGATGTCCCGGTCATGTCCCTTCCATTCCTTTCAACTCCCCCTTCATGTCCCTGACATTTTCTCGGTATGTCGGCTTCATTTTCCATTGCGTTGCGAGCCATTTCCCTACATCTCCCGTCGTGCCGATTGGTTTCCTTGTGCTTTGTTTCCCTTTCCCCCTGCGCTCCCACTGTTTTCAATTCTGTCCCTTTCATGTCCCTTTGAGTTCCCCTTTGTTTCCCTTTCATTTCCCTTTGCTTTCCTGTCATGTCGACTTCCTATTTCCTCCCCTCATTTCCTTGCACTTCCTTGCCAAAAACAGAAAGTTTTCTGGCCAAAAAACATGGTTTTCCAGCGTTTTCGCAAAGAGGACGTCCAAAAACACAGAGTTTTTCCAGATTTTCGGCAAAAGGAGGCAGGAAGCCCAAGCCAGCAAAAGAGCCGGCAGGCCTAAAACCTACGTATCAGACGTTGGGCGGGGGGGGTAAGGGGGGGGGTTATCCTCTATCCTCAAGTAAGTATCCGACACGCCGAACAATGTCGGCGGATTTCATGGGGTGAGTGCCAGCCTGCTTCATTCCAATTCCATGATCCCAATCTTGGTCACTCCAACCGGCGCAGGTAGGCTCTTGCAAAAGGGGTTTGACGCCGCCTTGTTGGTGACTGAACTGTTTGCTTCTTGATATTCCTTTGCCTTTCTTTTTCCGAATCTTAAATACGGCCCAGACGCTGGTCTGGCAATGAACGCGTCATCTTCCTTGAGACTCTGCATCTTCCGTTGCGATGCGACCTTCATGTCCTTCTTCATCTTCAACCCAGAAGCCTTCGTCTCCCTCGTACTCTCCTTGTTCCAGGATGTAGGAGGCGTTGCTGCGGTTGAGGTTGGATGGATGAATGGATCTCGGATGGACGTTCCGGTCGTGACAAAGAGATCGTGACACTGCGTCTTCAGCATCTGGATCTTGAAGCAACTCGTTATCAAGGACTTGCTTGTACATGTAAGCATCTCCCATGAGTCTGCTCTTGGAGAGAGGTCCTCTCTTGGCTGCTTCAATCGTAGTGAATGTCGTCCAATCATCCACAAGTTCTTTACACCTGAATCACGCAGCTCATTTGTCGGTCGCACGGCAGCGTGTCTAACGTCAGTTTTCGGTTGTAGGACAGAACCCAGATCCAGAAACTCTGTTGAACATAAGAGCTACTTAGCAGAAACTGTGTTGGTGAATTATGGCTGGCGCAAGTGGAGATCTCTTGCCTCCAGCCATGTCAGCCATTGCATGCATGCCGGTTTGCATAGGAGCTCAAGGACCCATCCTTGATGATGTAGAAAGCAATGCTGCCCGCACTTGCAGGTCTACCTCCTGAAATTTCCCTGACTGACTAGGAGCTTGTAAGTAATTCAGCTTGTCATGTGGGGAGACCTGGGCTACCAGCATCCGTGGCCAATAGCTCAGGGAGAAGCTTTGCAGCCTATGGCAAGCGCGTTTCATTCACAAAGAAGTAAGGGAAGGGCTCATGACTTCATCCCGCCCCTTGTGAGTTGAGTGAGCTACAGTCATGGCAAAGTTGAAATCCAAGACTGCCAGCAAACAAGGAACAAGGCACCCCGCTGCATTTCATAGTTGAAATGCTCTGTGCTTGAAAAAAACGTAAATTCTATTGAAAAGCGCAAGCCCCCACAACGTCCCACACTTTAATTTCACGACGGTGAAAGAAGATTAGCCTGGCTTTACTGCAGGAACACTCTGTTCTCAGAGTGGGACCGCGGACACGCAATACTTGAGCGATCAAGTTGGTCTCCTTTCACGATGGTGAGAAGTCCTCACCTAGGCGATACATGAGCGAGAACTGTTGCTAGCGGACGAGTTCATTCAAATTTGACCCGTGCGGAGAGCACATCTCACATGCACCAAATGAAAGCTCGCAAAGTCGCCGTAACTCACGTTGGCAGTATATACCTTGTTGTTGGCACATGATCTGTGATCCTTTTGTCAAGCTGTTGTTGGCTTTGTGGGTTGCTTTCCAGCGACAACCTGGTTGTTTGGAAAAGAGTTGATTTTAAATGTCCTAACGCCGGTTGGACATCCCTCGTCCTATATGGCTGGTTTCTTTCACTGCAAGTCTGCCAGTCTGGCAGGTTCAAGGTGATGGTTGGTTTCTTTTCGCCGAACCAGCTGCCGTCCTTGACCGCAGAAGATATGGTGAGCTCAGAGCTCAGAGCCACGCAGCGCAGCGTGCAGCATTCAGGCAAGCGACGAGAAGAACGACGAGAGGCGAAAGCACAGGCTGGCAACCTTCTGCATCTGTCCAATATGAAAGAGAAGCGGAGATTTTGAATCCAGGAAGCAATGTTCCTCCTGTTGGCGTGCTTAGAGCCCGCAGCCAGGCAGTATGCCATGGAAGCTTTGGATCAGGGCTGGGCCTTGAAGAATGGGCAGCAGGAATCTGAGTTGTCTGTTCTGACAGTGAGTTGACTCATTGACAGTGAGTGACTGGCGTCGAGGCAGCTCACCACTGGAATGTTCACTTGTGGCAAATGCAAGGCGGGGTCGCACAGGTCGCACAGGTCGCACAGGTCGCACTGCGTCTGTCGCCAGGGCAACAAGACCACGTATTTCCAGATGCAGACACGGCCTGGCGCATTTTTCCCTTTGTGGAGGGCCAACCCGGCCGGACTGAGGTCCTCAGACGAGCCAATGACCACCTTTGTCACCTGCAAGCTCCTGAGATCCGAGAGAACAAGTCGGCGCCGACAACCGTTTTGCAGGCCTAACTTGCAGCAACCGGTGGAAGTTCTGCTGAGTGGCTTCCTCTTGCGCTTGTACATATGCAAAAAAAGGTTACGCACGCACAAGTTGCAGACGCACAGCATGTCTTTGGCGTTTTGGAATTCCAGCCTGACTTCCGGGCTCAAGTCAGCTGCCGTGATGGGGGCATCCTGCAGCTTAGCCGCGCAAATTATGATTGACGGCAGATTGCACACAAGCAAGACACTTCGGGTGCTGTCAAGGTAATTCGGGGTGCTGTGCTGGCCTTAATTGCATCCACGCAGAAGGCTTTTCACGCTAACAAGCTGAGGCCAAGATGAGGGCAGAGCCGTGGAGAGTGATGTCGGGCGCGCAGAAAAGCTAATTGAATGCATCGCATGAAGCATTGGAGGGCGGTACGAGCCCCCAATGCCGAGCCCATAGAAGGCTCGCAGGCATTGTGGGCCACTGGACATAGGTTGGGAAAGAGGTTGTGATCGTAGGCCACTGCAGAATCCTGCTGGAAATTATATCTTGAATTTAGAAAGTAGGTAGAGTGTCCTTCTCAATAGAACTTTACAGCTCAATTAGAGATTGAACAGAATTTGATAAGGAAATTATCCTATCATGCATTTTTGTTATGTTAGAATTCGGATTCGACTCTATTCTATCTTTAAAATTCGGGTTTACACTGGATTTTCTTTGCAACCGAGTTTTTTTCCAAGTCAGTCAACATGTAAACAATTTATTGAAGCAAAGCTCAGCTGGAAAAAATCCACTCCAAACGTGACACAAGCACACGCACACAGCGTCCCGCTCTCTTTTTGGAATGTGCAAGTCTGTATGTGAGCAACACAGAAGCTGCAGCATCTTGCCCTCTTCTTTCTTGGGTTTTACTGGAGGTTTGGGACATAATATGCTCTTTCCAGACCTGAAGATGGTGCACCGGGTTGTTCTTGCAATATCCACACTCCGTGGACATGCTAAAGCGCAGGCTCCATGGTGGCCCCTTCTGCTTGCAGAATATCCACGACCGATGCTTTCAGAGACGGTCGTCAGGTCGTGAAGGATGTGGGAGTGCCACTCTCGCTCACCACGGCTGACAAGCCAGCCAGCGAAGAAAGGCTTGAGCAAATGGATTGCTTGCATGATTTCTCAAGTCTTAGCTCTCTCTCGCTCTCTTTCTCTCTTTCTCTCTTTCTCTCTTTCTCTCTTTCTCTCTTTCTCTCTTTCTCTCTTTCTCTCTTTCTCTCTTTCTCTCTTTCTCTCTTTCTCTCTTTCTCTCTTTCTCTCTTTCTCTCTTTCTCTCTTTCTCTCTCTCTCTTTGCTCTTGTCTTGAAATTTGCAAGGCCAACGTACGTGTTCGACCATGGCGCAGCGTACACTGGGAGCTGGCTGGGGGAGCATCGAGAAGGCTATGGAGTGCAGGCGATGTCTTTTAGAGCTTCGAGGCTTTTCTCCCCATCGGCATTCCCCAGCATTCTCTTGCTCCAGGTGTGGCCAGACGGAGCGCGCTATGAAGGCTGGCAGGCGTTGCTTGCTATTTGAGAGTGGGAGCTGGGCAAGGCCAGTGGAAGGGAGACAAAGCTCATGGATGGGGGAGGCGGTGGGATTTGGTTTGCGGAGGATTTGTGGCAGTCTGGGTGTAGGTTCGTTCATGCGGACGGGGACGTCTATGAGGGCGAGTGGGCTGCAGACACAGCCCACGGGCGCGCTCCCTACGGCCCCTTTGCGCCCTGATGGACCCCACGGGAATGGACGGGAATGCGGGAATGGATGGGAACACGAGGGCGTGGCACGTGGCACCTGGCACCTGGCACTTGGCTGAGGCAAGGCACGTACTATCACTCTGATGGGCGCGTAGCTCAGCTCCCTCGGTACGAAGGCACGTGATCGCCTTTGGCGCGTGATCTCAGGTCCAAATACGAAGGTCAGTGGGAGTATGACCGGCAACATGGGCAGGGCATAGAGCACTGGGTGGACGGCGCACGCTACGAAGGGTTGTGAGCCTGGCAAAGCTTCAGCTTCGATGCGTGCGCGGTGCGGCGCCCCTTGCCCCCCATTTGCCAGGTATGTCTCCGGAAAGAAACAGGGGAAAGGCCATTTCTCATGGGCTGACAGCTCATCATACGATGGTGAGGTGCGGCCTTCAGCACTTCAGGCTTCAAAAAGCACTTAAATCTGCATTGCCAGTTCTCGAGCAATGACATCCACGGCTATGGGATTTACACCTGGGGAGATGGTCGCAGATACGAGGAGATCCGATCCGGCAAGCAATGCGAGCAATGCGCATGAGCAATGCGCAATGCGCAGCTCAAGTGCGCAGGGCCAGTGGGAAGGCAACCGCATGCACGGGCACGGGAAATTCTCGTGGCAAAGCGCCCAGAGCATGTCGCATACGTCGCATACGTCGCACGAGGATGTTGGATCATACATCATTTTGCGATTGCGAGTGAGGCCTGACGGGCGAATCTACGAGGGAGAGTACGAAAACGACATCAAGGCTTGAGAGCTATGCCAAGCTGCATGCCAAGCTGCATGCCAAGATGCCCAATTCAGCCCTTCCAATGGAACTTGTGTCCGGCTCATCTCAGCACGGCTACGGCGTCTTCAAGTGGCCAGATGGCCGAGAGTGCGCCTTCAGAGATCTGTCCCGACTCGCGTGGACTCGCACGGGCTTCAGGTACGATGGGCAATGGAGAAACGGGAAGCAGCACGGCGTCGGATGGCTTGCCGCCTGAATTTCAGCAATGGGCACACAGATTTTCGAATGTTGTTTTTCTTGCCCTGAGACTTTAGAATGATTCGGGCACAAAATCAACGAGGCTTCGAGGTCATCCAGAGGTCTTGTCTTTCCGCAACTCACAGACTCAAGGTGATTACAAAGCGATGAGCAAGTTTCTGACCTCCGACTTTTCTGGTCCGTTTCATAAGGTCCTCCGCAGCCAGCATGGAGAAGCGCCAAGGACGGATTTAGGGGCACTTTGGAGGCAGATGAAAATTAGAAGCGCCCGGACAGGCACACGACACAAAGACCAATCCGCGAAGCGGGGCAAACCTTCGAAGCCGCCGCCACTTTTCCACGGGAACCACCGCCGCGTCTGTAGACCGTCGTGAGACTTCGTTGTATCCCGATGAATTGGATGCTGCGACGGAAATCAAAGTCACGAGAGGTCAATGTTGCGAGGTAGATTGCAACGAGTAGAGACGCCGGCAAGCCTGAGACGATGGCCGCAGCTCAAAACGTCGTTTTGGCGAAGCCGCACACATTTTTGTTATCATTTTGCCTTGTGCGAAGGCAGCTCAATGTGTTTTATTTACGCTTGTCATGTGACTTTGCAAGCAGTTGAATCTAAAGGTGCTGGCTCTCCGACATATGAAACGAGCGAGTTGTCGGACTGAACTCTCCCCCTCCCTTAGCCCTTGACATGAAATTGCTGGCAGGAGAGTGGGCAGATGGCAGACGCAACAGGTGCTTCATGACATTCATGAGTCAACTTATGAGCATCAAACATATTCGGGTGGGCATCAATCACAATGCTTGGGCGTCTTGCAAGACTTTGTTGCCAATGGGCTACACAGGTTGGTCGCATATGTTGACACTTTAAGGGGAGCTAGTTCTGCACATGCGCTGTAAAGCATCTGCCGAACGGCAATTGGCAACTGGGCGTGAAATGCCAGATGGATGGATGAGAATCAAATTGAGCCGTGACGTCGCCAAAGAGCAGACGAGCCTTTTTTCACCGACCTCAAGGGTTGAAGGTAAGACTGTGTCACCAACTTAGAGCCGCGACCTAGTCCAGAACCAGACAAAGATGAGAGTCAGCGTAGTGTTGAGAGAGTCATCAAGTGGCGGATGAGGCTCAAAGAGAAGCTATCTTTCAACAGTCTCAGGCCATTTGACTTCTCAGCAAGAAGCCAGAAGAACAAGTAGCCAGCAGTCCAATCAAGGCCCAACGAGTCAATGAGTCAAGCTGTGCATACTCTAGCACAGATCTATATAGATATACACATATACGTATGTATAGAACGTCGATCCTTGAAACACATGAGTTATCCGTTGGGCACGCTTTAGCTCGGCAGCCGGCGCCTCACAAGACCTATCTCTCGAGAGCCTAAAGGGGCTAAGGGGCATGCTAAGGGGCATGCTAAGGGGCATGCTAAGGGGCATGCTAAGGGGCATGCTAAGGGGCATGCTAAGGGGCATGCTAAGGGGCATGCTAAGGGGGGCATAAGGGTTGCGAGACGGGCAGACGGGCAGACGGGCAGACGGGCAGACGGGCAGACGGGCAGACGGGCAGACGGGTTGATCCGGGATCCGAGGCTCGATGGATGCCCTGTGCCTCGCTCGGATCGCTCGAGTCGAAACCTCCGTGCGTGCCCGGACCGTGCCCGGTTCCCCCAGGTCGGCTCGCACTCGCACTCGCACTCGCACTCCTCGCGGCTCCGGCGGCAGAGGAAGTTCCAAAAAAAAAAAGCTGGGCTTTCGAACCTCGTTTCTCTACTCGAGGAGTGCTCCTGTTGTCCATCGTGCGCTCGCCGCTTTGCAAGCACGCGTCGCCAGTTGCAGGTGTTTAATGGTGTTTACGGCAGGTCTTGTCATTCTTTGGTGCCTATGGGGCCTATTGGGCAGATGTGCTTGTCATGGTCCTTGTCAAGGCCTAGTGAGCAGTGTGATAGGACATCGGCCAAGCTGACGTAGAGGTAGCATCCGGGTACGGTTGAGTCAGTCTCAATTTGAACTTTCACTTGTGCATGTCCAGGCCCGTGCTGCGTGGCGGCCTCAGACTGACGGGTTTGTAGATATGCGGATGTCCGACTTGAGGCATCTCGAGCGCTGGAAGCTGCCGGCTCCGTTCGCGCCAGCGGCCGAGGACCCCGAGGACCCCGAGGACCCAAGGCACGTCGTTTTCTCTTTTCCATTTGAGGCCCTGCGAGCGCCTGGCTGCCAGCTGCAGCCGGGCGCAGAGGGACTCGAAGGACTCAAAATCAAAGTCAACGCATTTCTCTTGGAGCGCCTAAGGCCGGACTTTGACCCTGCCGTTCGTTTCTATGTGGTGGACTGCCCTGAGCAGGTGCGACATGCAAGACACGACCAGAAGCTTGCTGCGCCCTTGCCCAGGCAGCCACTGTTCATCTAGAAGCAGAGAGTATTTTTCCGCTTCTGGGTGGTGAAGGTGCGCCATGCATCCAGATCAGGTGTTGGCTTTGGCGTCTTTTTCCTTTATTGCCGTGGCAGGCGAGGTGTTGTCGGGTCCGATGCCGCTCCGGCCTGCGTTCAGACTTGCCTCCTGTGGACACTTTTGTCCCTGGCAGGGCCGTGTCGTTGGGTCCGGGCGACACAAAAGTGATAGTCGCCGCCTCAGATTCGTTTGCTGTGTGCATCCGTCAGCGCCTGAGACCATCAAAGCCTGCGCAGATGTATCTGGGACTGGGTCCTGGACTAAGTGTTGAGATCTTTGAGTGAATCAAGCTCACTTTGCTGAATGACAATGCCTTTCTCAATTCAATCATCCCCATCCCCTCTCTTTTCGTTGACCTCCCTTAAATTTGCTCTTCGTCCTTTCCAAGCAAAACCCCAAGCTTTCCTTGACCTTCCCCCCTCGGATCTTTCAAAGAGCCTCACGGCCTCTTCTTGAATTGAATTATTTTTGTTCAAAACTTCCTTCCCTCTCTGCCTTCTTTCTCATCTCTCTCTCTCTCTCTCTTTCTGTTCTCTCCGCTTTTCTCTCCGCATGTCTCCCCGCATATCTCGTCTGGAGGTGCTCGGAGTACCGCCTGGACGTGCACCGCCGGGGCTCCTCTGAGGCGCTGCTCGCAGAGCTCCGGATCACAGACCCCGGAGGTGCGAGCGACAAACGAGAAAGAGAGGACAAAGGTTGAAGATCGAAAATTGAAAGACGAAGAAAGACGAAGAAAGACGAAGAAAGACGAAGAAAGACGAAGAAAGACGAAGAAAGACGAAGAAAGACGAAGAAAGACGAAGAAAGACGAAGAAAGATCAGTTTTAGAAAGGAGATAGAAGGAGAAATGAGCGCAGCCAGGAGGATCCGATGTGCCGCTGGTGCCCACGTTTCATCCATCAGCCGCTTGAGAGAAGTGACATCCAAGGTGATTTCTCGACTGATTTCTCGAATTTGGCCAAGGTGAGGCTTTATCGTGCTGCTGTGCCCTTCCAAAGCGCATCCGCAAAGGCGAGCACGAAAGTCCGGAAGTGCAAGCGCGGGATATCAAGGAGTCCTTTCCTTTGGTCCACCCTGAATTTTGCTTACCTGCACACCGTGAACCCATCCTAAATCAGAAACAACCCTCCGTCTAAATGCGAGGGGTTTGAGTTGAAAGCAACGAAAAGAACTCGCAAAGCGACAAAACTGCCTTACTGCCTTTGGGCGCGCTCATTTGGACGGCTCATTTCTGTGCCCAAGATTAGTGGGGGACGCCTTTTCGGGCGCCTTGTTTCACTCTCCGCACCCAAGGACGCCGTTTTCTTTTCTGTGTGGGCTTGTTTCCGCCCGAAAGAAGTAGAAGGTTCCCGCGTTGTCGTATTTCGGCTTGTCGTGATTAGGGTTGCCTTGTAGAGTCAATTTCAATCATCTACGAGATATGTAGACGCTATACGGGGTCTTTGCGGGCTGCCAAGTGCACTGAGAGCGCGGCGCTTTGGGGGGCGGGGGGGAAGCAAGTCCAAAAACGGACTCGAAAAGAAAAGGTTCGGCCCTGCTCCCAGGCGAGGTCATGACCTTGCCGTCAGCCTCAACGCACGGATTCCTGTCAGGATGCAATGATGCCAGGAATCAAAGACCCTCCGCGCTGCAACGCTGTTCGCTCTTCCTGACCGCGCGCCGAACTGCAGACTGGCAAAAGCATTTGCCTAGTTGTCCGACGCACGGCCCTCGCAACAGGAAATGTCCGACTTCTGCGTTGTGGTCTGCAAGGCATTCACTCTGAACGATAAAGAATTGCGGAATGAGGTTGTCATTGAGCGGGGACGCGCTCGGTGTCTTGTCTGCCTGCCTGTTAAATACCGTCTCAGCACCTCTGGATCATCAGGGGCCAATAGCTGCACGGTCGGCGTTAATCGATTGCTTGTCTTGCCCTGGCGCGAGGAAGTTTGGTGATTGCGCCGTGATGACGGGCATCAAATCGTTCCATGTCTCCTGAGCAAGATCTCGAACTTTTCATGTGAAAGTGAGAAACTCCGAGCCGCATCGTCGATGGTTGAAGAAGCTAAACGAGCCTGTAAAGGGACACACTGGTTGTACTGTTCAGGAAGTACTTCTTGAGTGTAGTCTTGAAGTAGTTGACTCCCTCTTCTGGGTTTTGGAGCAAAGAACTGAGGTCCTCTTCTCTCTGGCCCCATTGTTGTGAATGATATCCAGTCATGACTGAACCAGGCTTTCTTCTGAGCGGCGCGGTCATCGGTGTATCGAGCGTCTTGGTATAGGCCTCCAAAAAAGCCTTCTGCGTCTGATGACATCTCGGGTGGATTTCGTCGGAAAAGCCCCAATACCACGACTGAGTTCTCAATCTTGCTGTGGTAGGATACTCAAATGGCCCGTGGATAAATTTCAGGTCAAACCCAATGTCTCTCAGATGGATTGGCGGGACTATGGATGCCCCTGACAATTGTACTCGTTATTGAAATGCGGTGCCGCAGGGTCTTTGCGCGGAAAGCGCGTGGCTCTGGTTGTGTAAAGTGTAAAGAAGGGCCTTGAGCCAAAATGGTAGATTGTATGAAGTAGATTGCGTGAAGGTCAACAGTGCAAAGTAAAAAGCAGGGAGGGGATGTGGCGGCAGGGAACGCGGCGTCAGATTGCGGCTGACGCGGGAACGAGGCGTCAGCCAGGAATGTGGCGTCAGGTGTGGCGTCTGAATGCGGCATCAGCCAGGAATGCGGCTTCGGGGGTGACTGTGGCAACAGGGAATGCGGCGTCACAACGCGGCGTCAGCCGAAAATATCGCGCCACAGAATGTGGCGTCAGCTGGGAATACGGCGTCAGCCGGGAATGTGTCAGAGAATGTGGCGGCGGAGTGCGGCGTCAGCCGGGAATGCGCAAGATGTGGTGTCCCTGCAAGGAATGCGGCGTCATCTTTTTTTTGGAACGCGGCATCAGAAGTAGAGCGCTGGCCCCCTTTTGCGGCCGCCCTGGTTTGATTGGAAACTTGTGTCCGGATCAGGTTGTGTGGAAAGACGGTTCGTACGTATTGCGTGGCTCATTGAAGATGAGCGGCTTGGTTTGCGGCGTCAGGTTTTTGCTTCAATCAATGGCTCAGGGGCGTCTGTTGCCATGGCCGACCAGGCCAATCACTTTTCCAACAGTTTGGCCACTCGCCGGCCAAACCCTTCCCCGTGCGTCTGCGAGCCACCTTGGCAGCGCGTGCTGGCTGACCCTGACAGCAACTTTAACAGCACCCCTTTGACCCCAGCCTGTTCCGAAACTGACGCTTACTTACACTCACTGACCTTCAGCCGATTCCAAGTTACCGCGCTTGCGCTCCATCCTGAGCCCAGATTCAAGTGACCTAAGCCAATCCAGCCCCTCGCCTTACACTGGCATTGTGTTGTCGGTGAAGCACAATGCTGGCCCATGCCTAGATCAAGTCTGGGCCACCTCAAGCCAACTCACCGTATATTCTGAAACTCTTGACAACCATACCAAGCGGCCAGCCTCAACCGACACCCCCCCCCACGCAAACCTGCATCCCATCCTCTGACACCAAACCAGCGCCTGACCAACCGACACAGAACCGACCCTAAAACATGCCAGCTTGAACCTGCCACCCAAATCTTTTTTTTTTTTGCCAACCCAGGCACCAAACTCGCCGCAGACCCTAGCCCAACTCACGAAAGCGGAGAAACGTAACTTAGCCAACACATCCATCGACAAGAGGCGATCAAATTCATACCCGCTCAAAACCCGTTCAATCCTCAAACAACCCAAATCAGCTCTACACCAGCCTTTCGTCCACCCAACCCCAGCCGAATCTCATATCTGAAACTCGCCCCACTCCACGGCATGGGCTTAAAACGGCAACGAACCACTGCTGCAGGTCGTGGCAGCTGCTGCTAAGGGAGGCTTTGTTTCGTACACTTCCTTCTCTGCCGCTGATCACCACAGCCAGCGCAAAGCCCAGCTACAGCAGAATCCTGCCACGTTCTTTTCCTTCCGAGTTTCGCAAGCTTCGGAAGGTCTCTGGATGTTCACGCTCCAGCCGGCCTTGCTGGCACGAGCAGGTCCGGGCCCCGGTCGTTCGCGGCTGCGTGCGTCTTGAGCAACCTAGGTTCAAGTCGACAAAGGTGCAGATCTTCGTTGTGTCTGCAGACTGGCAGCTTCAACGCAATTTGGCGCAGACTGTTCTGGAAGAGACTTCGAGGAATGTCCTGGCAGGACTGGCAAGATGCAATACTCTATTGAGGCTGCCGTTTGCTTTTGTGGAGTTGACCAGTTGACTCTGCATTGCCAGTTCAGCCGCGCAGCAAACACTGACACCTCCCTGGCTGCTGTGGCTTCGAATGTGGGAGCGTGCTGTCCTCAATTGAGAGCCTTGAGAGCCGTTGTCGTGGTTTCTCTCGAGGCCATACACCGTAGAGCCCGACAGCTATGTTTTGGAAGTCCCTGTCGGGCCCGGGGCTCGGACAAAGTTTTTCTGTTGTTCTCGCGAGGCGCCTTTCCTTCTCTCGTGTTTCAGGACGCGGGAGGTGGCGATCAGCGCCACGGCATCCGACAAGGAGAGGGACACGAGCGACGCATCCGCGGAATCCGCGGAATCCGCGGAATCCGCGGAATCCGCGGAATCCGCGGAATCCGCGAATCTAAGCGTAAGACGACAGAAGGAGACCCCGCTCGCAGGCCGCCAGGCTGGCCTTGGCCGGGAACCGTGGCCGTGGCTATGCCTCGGCCGTGCGCCGAGAAGTCTATGCAAAAGGCTTGCTTCCGAGAAAGGCCAACTGAGAAGCACTGACGGGAGGTTCAAGGAGAGCTTGAAACACTTTGGAAGTGAGTGAGGAGTCCGGACATCGGTTTTTGACCTCCACTTCAGGGATGGTCATGGCCGTCCCAGTCCTCTTTGACCGGGTGCTTAATTGCACAGCTCGAGTTGTGTTTGAATCTTGTATTTCGTATTTGCGTGTTTGTTTGTTTTTCTCGGTAGAATCGCTTGCCCTTTCGTGCAGCCAAATCGAGCATGGCACATTGCAGAGCAAGACCCGCGAGACTGCAGGAGAGCAGAGCAAGTTGCGCAATCGGGCAACCAGAGCAAGTACGAGAGCAACTGCAGAGAAAAATGCACAAAAGGACATGCAGAAAAAGTAGCCCGAGAGCACACGAGAGCACGCGAAAGCACGCGAGAGCACGACATGAAGAGCAGCAAGCGCAAGAGAAAGTACGCAAGAAACGTGGATTGGATTGAAAGTTAGTCTTTAGCAGTGGGGCCACGCCCACCCTGCGAAAATGGCACGATTGGCGACGGCGGCACTTGATTCGCGCTCGCGCGACCCGCTTGGATCGGTGTGAAGAAACTTTGCAACGATGCGCTCAAACACTTGCGCAGAGCAACTTGCAGATAGTTGTGCAAAGAGCCTGCACAAAGAAACATGCACCAAGAGCTCCTCCAGAGAAACTTGCATCGATATCTTGGAGCGTGAAGGAACTTGCGAGGAGATACTTGCACGAAATTGGCAGAGAGACTCTTTGGGGCTCAAACTGGCAACACAGCTCTGTCTTCAGGCCCGTTTGTGTGTTCAACGAGAGTCGCGGAGAGGTACTCCAGGTGGATCCGCGCGCCCCGTACTTGACGATTCCCATCGCAGTAGAAGCAGCAGACCGCGCCATGGCCCAAGGGTGTCGCGGACTCGTCTGTTGGATTCGTGCTCCAAGCTATTTACTGGTAAGAACCTTTCACTAGTATTTTTCCGGCTGTCCGTTTTTTCCGTTTCGGCTCCCGGTGTGCGAGTGAGGTTACGCGGAGGAATTCCACGCTGGTCGTTGCCATGACAGGCCACGAGTCCTGGGCCATGCTGACTGACCTGGCACCTCAGCCCGCACGAGCGGACGAAAGCAACACAGAGAGTGCCATTGAGTGCCATTGAGTCTTATTAAGTGGCAAGTGGCAAGAGTGATTCGAAGAGAAAGGCTCGGAGCCCCGCTGTTTGGCTTTTGTTCGTGGCCTCAAAGGGGTTCCTTTTGATTTCATGACCCTTCGACGAGCCAATGCAAACACTGGCTTGTACATTGCACTTGGCTAATCAAAGAGGGCGCATACCGGCGATCAGCTTTCTGGAGAGTTTCATTCATTGCATGCCTGGTGCATTTGGTGCACTTGAGGTAGTTCCCCATTGTGAGGGTGGCCTCATCCCATCGTTCCAGATCAACGTGGGCGGCTGGTGGTTTGTGCAACCGTCTTCGCATGGACGCTGAGGTGTTTCACTATCGGTGCCTCCTGGGCAATGACGTCGAAGATTTGCAGGTGCGTGTTTTTTCCGAACCGCGCCTGTATCATCCAAACTGGTTGGTGCACAGCTGTCCCATGCGGGCTGGTAGGTCATCCCCCAAGTCATGTGGATGCCCGGCTTCAACCAGCAGATGCATGTTCACGTGCAGGCTGGGTTTTGGCTTGTTGCCTCGAGTTTGCATTTCGGAATTTCGGTAGGGCAAGCCCTGGAAGTTGGAAGCCCAGCGCATCGCTTCGGGTCGATTGGGTTTGGTTTGGTGCATTTCATGAGGAGCGGCCATGTCTTCATGCAGCAACTCAGTGACAATGGCGATGCAGAGGACGGACCGGACGCGTTCAGGAATGTTTCCGAGTCCGAAATCGCAGGTTGACGTGGTTGTGCAGGCCTCTGACAGAGAGCACAAGGCTCGGAATGCAAGGAACAGGCCGCCTGTCACGGCCCAGCGAAGGCTACCTACCATATCTCAGCTCAAGGCTCTGCGCTTTCTGAGTCCCCTCCTCTCAGACTTTCTGATCTCTGCACATGCTGGTCGATCCGAGGCGTGGACGACTGTTCACGACCTTGGAGCCGTCTCCCCGCCAGCCGCCCACCACGAGGAGTGACTTGGAGCTCGGCTTTTCAATTTTGGCGATCTTCCGCGATCTTCCGCGATCTTCCGCGATCTTCGGCGATGGCCACTTGCGAGGTGGGTGGAGCCCACAAAACTACCGGCGCCGGTGCCGGAGCCGGCTCCAGTGCCAGTTCCAGTGCCGGAGCCGGTCCCAGTGCCGACGCCCAGGCAGGACTTAGCGTCTTAGCATGGCTTCGGACTCAACTTGGACTTGTAGCGCTTGTAGGCCCTCTGCACCGAGTGCCGCCCGTGCCGCCCCCAGAGACTTGTAAAATGAATCGAATGCATGATTTGAATGCATGATTTGGCTTTCGCATCCCAGGCACGCGCAGGACCGTGTTTCGGACCGATGTGTTCTGTTGCCTGGCACTTCACTTGCGCAGGCCGTTTCTGCCCAAATTCCACTTGCAGCTACCGGAAGGCCTGAATCAATCGCATCATATCGCATCTTATCGCATCTTATCGCATCTTTCACACCCTGCGGAAGGCTCCCTGCCATCCTTGGAAGAATGCGCAAGTTGGGCCGGAGTTGGTCACTCAGTCGGCTTGTGGGCAAGGTGACCAGCCGATAGCCCGTAGGTCTCGGCAGCTGCTCTCTCCATGGCAGCCTTGCTCTGGCAGCACGACTTGTTGCCATTGCCCAAGAGCAAAATAATGCCGACTCTATCCGACTCAGCCCGAAAGATGGACGGAAGCCAAGGTCTTTCATGGTTTTGCTGAAGGACTCGACGGAGAGTGGGTCTGGTGGGTTGGTTCCTTTTTGGTCCCGTGAGGAGCTCCAATTTGTGGCTCTCACCGCTGATCTTGGAGCTGCTCTGAGGGTGCACCGTGAGGGTAATCTGCGCGTGTTTCGATTTCACCGAAGCCTCGCACGCGTAGCCTCAGATCTCTCGAGCATCCGCACAAACAGGACATTAAACCTCTGGCGCAAAAAACTTTGCGTGGAATGTTCATAGCGTAGCCTCGAAGCTTCCAAGGTTCACGTGCCTGCCTCACGTGCGAGGAGCTTCTGGCACAAAGCCGTCTAAATCCACCACTAGTCCCACTAACGCTAGTACTGAGCTCTTGTGAATACAACGTGGTGTGTTCCCGCATAGTTTCGTGGCCTCCGAATTTTGTTTCGTGCGCGGAACCGCCGCTCCAGGGATGTTGGAAGGCATAGGCATTGATTCAGCCTTGCCTGAAACGTGGAGCAGTAAGACGGAAATGATGAGAAATGCGGAGCTATGCTCTTCTCACTGAAAGGCGTATGGCGTGCGCTTGGCCCGTCTGGTCCAGGTTAGGTTTCGGCGCACGCACCCGTCGAGTTAGCCGTTTCGGAGCGCGCCCAGGCCGAAGCCGCAACACAACGAGAACAGCGCGACACAAAACGAAAACACGTCGGAAAGGTATGTATGGTATGAACGGTTCCAAGACGCGGCCAAGAACTGGGGATCGACCGGTGCTTTTGGCGCTCATTGGCCACGTGCACAAGCTTGGAGAATTCCTGAAACAGCTTGGGCTGAAGAAGCATTTGGCGGAGTTCCGCGTAGAGGGAATCCGTCACTTTCTTTGTGGCGACCACTTCAGTTCCCTCTCCAATGGCAACATACTGCAACTCAGGACGCTTAGCATCAGGATTCCCATTTCCTAAATCCCGAAACATCAGGTGGGTTCCTGGCAGTTTGACTTTGATTCCCTTACATCATCCAAGAACTTTTCTGTTTTGGGGTGCAACTCTGCGAGAAAACGTCCCTTGCTCTTGGTGGCAGTACCGCTCATGAGATGAGGCGACTCTTGGTATGCGTTGATTGCTCAGCCCTTCAAGATGTTCAATCTGCAGGCAGGCATGTTTGCGGTGTCGCAGCATTGATGAGATCCTTTATGAACAAGACTGCAGCTTTGCCGTGTTTTGGCGACGTTATACGCTTGTGCTGATGAGTGAGCTGCGCAAAGTGGGCTGAAGTTGCGAGGTGAGCTGGCCTGGTCTTGTTTGTCAAGGCATGCAATTGCTGTGGTTTGGCAGAATTTCCTTTGGTGCTGAATCACCCAGTCTCGCACGTGGCGAACGTTTCCTTGAAAGGAGACTGTGAATGGCCTCAATCGCAGATGCAGGCCCGAGCACTCACCATGCATGAACTTACCATGAGCTTACCTTTTCATAGCGTTTCCAACATTTATACCTATCATGTTTCAGTCGTTTGTTGAACGCACCAAATGCTCAGGTCATCATTTCTCCATCACTAGTCATGCCAACTTCCACATGCAAAGAGCGTGACTGAACACACAACCTGCATATTGGGACGTGCTTCTATTTCGGAAAGCGTTCTGACTATGTCTAGAAGCTTACTCCAATCAATAGCGAGACTGCAGCATAGGATGCAAAGCACATGAGTTGTACAACATGGAGGATTCACGCCATGCCACAGAGCTACCGAGCTAAGTGTCAACACGTGCTGCACAGCAATGTGTTGCAAGTTCCTGAAGTATACACATTCAAGGGCTTCGGCACACCGCTGGAAAGACAAAGACCGTGACAAAGACACGGCGGACGTAGGTCCAGTCCAATTTGTCAACACAGGCCCCTCACCTTGAAGAAAGGTTGAATCTCGGAATCCCCTTCTCTGTGCAACTTCCCATTTCAAGATTGATGCGTGCTTCCGTTTGGAATCCTCATGTGTTTACCAGCTCACAGCCTGCGACTAGTACACTTGGGGTTGACAAGTCTTTGCTGCTGTGTCTTCGAACGAAAGAGTACGTTTGAGCCATTCCTTCCCCTTGTTGGAAATGCAGCGGCTTGATTGTTGCAATTCTTCCAGATAGCTGAAAACTGGGCTGTCAGCTGTTGCCCGGGCACGGTGCTGGGTGCTTGTCCCGAGACACGAGAGGCAGCCACGCTGATTACTTTGGCGTGCTCTCCTTGGCCAACTGCGACTCGCCGCAGTCAGAAGCACTTATACGTAGCGACTCAGGTGCTTTGTTCTGCCACCGCTGCTGCTACTTTTGCTACTGGGCTGGCTGGAGGCACAGGTTGGGTGAGAACTGTCCACTCCATGGTCGTTGGCACGACAAGAAGTTCAAAGCAGGGCCACGGCATCGTTTTGGCGAGGCAAGCGTGGAGGAGGCTTCTGTGCGCCGCGGCCTTGCCAGCGGCCTCGGTGTGCCTGGCCCTCGGATCCCGGTGGCAACTTCCACACATGCAAAGAGACTGTTGCACGAGGACGTTGCACAAGAGAAATGGCACAGAACAACAAACACAAGAAACCCAGCTTGGGAGCTTGTGCGAATCGCCGGCATCAATCCGCAAAAGCGCAGAAGGAATGCGTCTTGTCCACTTTTGCGCTGTCTGATGTGCTTGTGCAACTGCCCAACAGCATGTTTGCCGCAGCGGCTTTCTGAATCGGGCTCGAATCCGGAACTGGGGATTCGAGAGTTGACTTCTCTTTGTATTTTGCCTCTGTGTCAAACCTCTCTTCATGTTTCTTCCTTTCCTTTTTCTTCTGACATGTTTCTTCTGACATGTTCTTTTCTGAATCTTAGTCTTCCCTCTGCTCCACGGAAAGCGCCCTCTTTCCTTCTCTTCCTTCTCTTCCTTCTCGTCTTTCTCGTCTTTCTCGTCTTTCCCGTTTCGGCCCCGTCCTTTTTCCCTTTTCTTTCGAGGCGGGGCCTGCGGCTCAAGGTGCTGCCCCTGGCCCGCGCCCGAGATCGAGATCTATCTCCGAAGGTTTCTCCCGTTCCCATTACGCCTTTCCTCCTTTCCTCCTTTCCTCCTTTCCTCCTTTCCCTTCTCCCTCTTTCCTTTCCCTTCTTCTCCTCTTTCTCCCTCTTTCTTCTTTCCTCCTTTCCTTTCTTTCCTCTTTTCTTCTTTCCTTTCTTTCCTCTTTCCATTCTCTCTCTCCGAGGGCATCTTTTTCCAGAGGTCTTGGTGACGCTGGACGTGGGCCTCCTTGGTCCGAGTCCAAGCCACGTCTTTCGTACGAAAGAGAGCGTCCTTTCAGATTCAGCTATTCAGCTATTCAGCTATTCAGCTTGGCTCAAAGAAAACACAGAGCAATGCGGGCCAGCAAGTTCAAGCCACGCCAATGCCCCAATGCCCCAATGCCCCAATGCCCCAATGCCAACTCACACTTTGGCCCAGGCTAGGAGTGCCATGCCTGGAGCACTGCTGCGCAAATGCACAGCTGACAAGTGAAGTCTTGAGAACATGCAAGCAGTCAATGGCCGAAAGGCCCTGAGCCATGGGAGTACGCACCCGGTTCCCATCTGAATTTGTTGTGGCCTTGGGCCGAGGCAAGATCATCATGAATCCAAAGTGTTCAAGTCTTTGCTATCGGCCAGGCCTGAAACGGCAAAGAGGGGTTGACATACTGGAAGCACATCCTGGCATGCGGAGGCTGCACCCACAACCAGAGGTGGAGGGGAAACTACAGCGCTGTCGCAGAAGACCGAGACTGATTTGGATATCGTCTCACACTTGTAGCTTGCATGAGAGCATCAATGTGTTTTCATGTGTATTCCTTTCGATGCATGGCCCCCAGCAGTCTGGGGTCCAATTCGACACTTCAAGCGCTCTGATTAAAAAGTACTAGTAGTGGGCACATGATGTGAGCGCATGGAGTGCGTGGGTCAGTTGAATGTACAGCTATTCTTGACATCGATCGGAGCCACAATGTCCTGAAATGCCAAGCGATGTCAGATGCTTTCGGATGTAGCCATCCATGCTTGAGGATTCACGGATGCTGCTGCCAGAGTGCTTGCGAGCGGGCAGAAGGCTCGAGGCAGGCAGAAGGCATTCCGGCAAGTGCATTGGACCAGGTGTATGTGAATCACTGGGACCTGAATCCGATGCTTCCTGGCTGAATGTTGCGATGCCACGCTTTTGCGGCATTTCTCTCGAACGACGTTTTTGTTTTGTGCCATTTATGCTTTGGTTGAGGCTGAAATGTCTCCTGGTGGTGTACTCCTTTGGGTTCTGTGGCTTTGGTGTGGCACAGCTCGCTCGCCTCGAGAAGCTTCTGGCGCCGAACTTGGATAACTTGGATAACTTGGATAACTTGGATCCGGGCGTGAACGTCACGTGACGCACGCGACGCACGCGACGATGCGCGTCAAGGTCTGGAGTGAGCCGTTGGGCTGCTTCGTGGACGTCAAGTGTTTGGGAGCCAGAAGCTCAAGAAGCTCAAGAAGCTCAGCGGGAAACGGAGCCAGCCCGATAGAGCGCAGGTGACCCTGCGGGAGTCCTCCTACCCACGTGAGCCCGACAGACACACGATGTGTTTTCATGAATGCATGCAGCATTTTTGTATATGTAAACTCTTCCTATCACATATATATAATATGCATATAGTATATATATATATATATGTATTTGTTAAAGTAGAACTGAATGTGTAATATGTCTAACTACCTGAATGTGTAAGCCTGTGATGTGAACGACTCGGCACATGTTTCAGGATGATGTAAGCCAGTGACTGATCTCATGTCAGTATATGACTGTACAACGGTGTCCCTCAGGTGTCGGCTCCTGTACCATCAAGATGCTGTAACTGTACATTCCCAACTGTCCGGTGTGCCTCTGTAGGCAAGTACATGCTGTACTCCTCAAATGCCTTCGCCCATGATCTTCTTCTTGTTCAACAACTTGTATCCTTGCTGTTGCGAAAGGATCGCTGTACTGTCCACTTCTTGCAGTCGCTGATCACTGTATCCAATCTGTCCAGGAATCAAAGCCATGTTGTTGCCACTCAACTGTATGCCATGCTGCACGATGTACTCAATGACTCGTGTCCTCAATGGCTCGCTGATAGCCTGTACCGCAGGGTAGGTGTGGTAGCTAAAAGCCATCGAAAATCCAGCATGTATGCGGTCAAGCGGATCCTCTGTATCCAAAACCTTCTGAATCGGAATAATGATGTGCTGGAGGACCATGTAATCCTTTGTGAGATTGTAGTTCTTGTAAAGGTTTGTGATGTGACCTTTCACCTTGTAAAGCGAACCCGATGCTTTTTCAATGAGTGACAAAGTCCATGTACAATCCTGATGTAACTGCAGGACTTGTCCAATACCTCTGTTGAACAATGTAACCCTTTTCTCGTAAACCTTCTGAAGCAGTTCATCTTATACACAAAGAATGTGCTCATGTCAGCTGTACTGTCCAGACCCTCATGTATCAACCAACTGATGTATCCAAGGCAATCCATGAAACTGTATAACGTCCCAATGAAGCCCAATGTAGGGGACCTCATGTAGCCAGGGATCTTCTGTGCCTCATTCGGCTGAGTTGTGACAGTGGTTGTCATGAACGTGTATTGCTCCACCGTATGATGTGATGAACCTGTGTGTGAAGTGAAGCGCAGTTGTTTTCCTCTGGGCAATGATGTACTGTCTACTGTAGCTGTACTAAGGCAGGTCTGTACATAGGCTCAAGGCCTTGGGATGTATGGGCAGCGGATGTAGCCCAAATGTACTGCTAGAGAAAGCATGTTGTATTTAACACGCCTCCTCAGGATAATGTTGTATACATTCTCCTGAAATGTTGAAAATCGATGTTGCCACTGCACAAGAGATGTGTACCAACCCGTGCAACTTCCTGGTGGGTGGGTCGTAGCGTCAAAAGCAGGTGTCAACAGCAGGTGTCAAACAGCTGCTGTTTCAAGCAAATGTTGTATCCAGCTGTCCGACTGTGCCACTCATGTGCACCATGTCGAGATTGTATTGGCAAATCGTGTGCTCTGAAGAGGGTAGGTCAAAGTTGTGAGAGCATCAAATGGACTGGTGCTGTACATCATGTACTTCTCCTCATGTTGGCCTGCAGTCCAGTGTAAACTGTCGTATTCCTGTGCAGTAAAAGCGATGTACAAAACACCGTTTGTATCTGTGGTCTTCTCGATGTGCCACTCCATGATGTTGTGCGCCTCCTTGCCGTTGCCGCAATTGATGTTGTGAAATCCCACAGATGTCAGCGATGTAAACAAGTGCTCGCCGTATCGCCTTCCGGTGTGCTCATCTGATGTAGCGCGCGCTGTCAAGGCCTGCGTGTCCATTGGTTCGCTGTATCAGGAAGAATGTACCTGATGTAAAAGGTAAAAAGGGCGCAAATGCATGTTTGACATGTATCTTGCAGAAAAACCATTGTAAGGGGGTTGTAGAACTCCCAGAAAAGATGTACCATGGCTCCGGATTTCCTAAGTGAAGCTAAGTTGTAGCGCTTTCACTTTCGTTGTAGACAAGGAAGGTGACCTGTGCAACTGTTGTTTAACAAACTGTGCTGACTACCGTACTTTCTGGTGTGAAACTGTTGTGATGGCCTCACAGGCCAACTGGTTTGCTTTCTTTGATGTGCCTTCTCGCATCGTGATTGATTTAGCTGCGCTTCTGTCTGCATGTGTCCTGATGTTGGTGCGTACTCCAAATGCTTCCTTGATGAAGTTGCTGTTGTAGAGGCTCTCCTGCGCTGCTGTACCAATTCTGACTCTGCTGATGAAAGTGCCATTGTTGCTTGTGCTCTGCTTCCATAAGTGTATCGCTGCTCCGAAGAAGTGTGTCACAAATCCTGTTGTGCTCTTTCTTGTTGCCGCGCATGATGCCCAGTTGGCATCTGTGTGTGTGTCGATGTTGAGTGGGATTCGCTTGTCCTGTATCTGTATCTTTGGTTGCAGGTTGTGTCACAAGTACCTTGTGCCTTTAAGGTACCTTACCATGTGTTTGAGCTTCTTGTTGTCAAACTGTGTTGGTGCTTGTAGTGATCTTGCTAGTTCCTTTGCTCCATAGCTGATGTCAACGTAGTTGTTGTTCAAGATTACGTCGATGTAGTTGCCTCTGTGTGAAATGTTCCTTCCACGGAAATGTATTATTGCGCCTACATTGAGGTTGCTTGTGTGTCTCAGCAGTGCTTGTCAATGATGCTCTGTAATCTTATGAATGGGAGGTCGTCTACATAGATCATGATGTAGACCTGGCAGTCCTTTGGCCTGAAGACATTGCTCTCTGTTGTGCATCTCACAAGTTCAAGTGTAACTGTGAGGATGTGTGCAATGTGGTCTTGCCGCCGCATTATGTTTGCTTGCTTCATTGTTGAACTCGCGCGGCGGTCTCATTACCAAGTTGCATGAGATTGCTGCTGCATGTAGAAATGCAAAACTGACATCTCCTGTACGGATTGTGAGGAGTACCCTCAGCATGCAAAACAGTGTTGCGCTTGCAAAGAGTAGGTCATGGTCTGTAACGGGTTCTGTGTAGCCCTTTGCTACTGTTCGTGCTCGTACTTCGTTGTGCTTTGGTTTAAGAACCCATCTTGCTTGATGTTTGCTTGCGTTCTGGCGTCATCGTGTTGCCATCAATCTCTGTAAAGACTGATTGGTCTTTCATTTGCTGTACTTCTTTCTCCATGCCTTGTGAAACGTGTTGTGGGCCCAAGCCTTCTGTGTCATGTATGATCGGCTCTAGTAGGATCCTTTTGTTGTCGATTTCTTCTGTGTCCTCGCTGGATGTTGTCTCCATTTGTTTGCCATCTCTGGTTGTAAACTTGATGGCACTCATCCTCATTTTGCCTTTTTTGGTTGTTCTGTTGTTGTAGGCCGCTCCAGCGCTGTTGCTTGTCTGTGCCGCCTTCTGCTATTGTGTCATCTCTTTCTCCTGTGTGATGTAGGCGGTGGTGCTGGCAACGCTGGTCCTTTCTGATGTGTGTGGTGATGTAGCCATTGGTGATGTTGGCTCTGCTGTCTTCTTCTGCTTTGTGCGCTGATCGCTCGATTGTGATGTGCTCTGTCTCTTGCCTTCTGCTGCTGTGATTGTTGCTGAATCCTTCTGAGATGCGGGTGCTTTGCTTGCTGGCATTGTAGCTGGTGTTGTGAGAGTAGGTGCTGGTGTCTTCCTTGGACCTGTGTGTACACAGTCCAGTAGTTGCTGATTGTATTTGTGAGGCACTATCTGCCTTGTGATTGTCCTTGCTCTGACAATCTTGTTGTAGGTCCCAACGAGGGACTCGCCTGTAGTTGTATCCTTGCCAAGCCAGATCCCGTTGTAGAACCTCGGCCCGAGATTTGGAAATTGTTTCACTGTTGGTAGCATGTTCTGCACTGTCTCACCAAACCCGCGAAGTGGTGTATGTTGCTCTCTGTTCTATTTGTTGAAGTAGCTTGAGCATCCATTGCTGTGGATCGCAAATCTGTTCATGATACATGCACTGTGTCGAACTATCCAAGGCATGAGTGGATGTTCCAGTAAAATGTCTTTGTTGTAGTTCTGCCGGATTTGTGCCTTGAGTGTTCTGATTTGTGCAAACAGTGTTCTGTGCGCTCGCTCTACTCCTCCCTGTGATTGTGAACTGTATGCCCCTGAGTTCCTTGTGGTGATGTTGCCATTCTTGTTTGCCAGCACTGATCGCAGGAAGTCTCCTGATCTGGTTGTAGTATGGTGTGAGATGTTCTTCCACATTCAATGAGGAAGTGCTGTAGTTGTGTGACTGCATAGTCGAAGAGCATCCTCTTGTTGGTCAGTTGTATGGCCATGATCATCCCTGATTGGATGTCAATTGCTGTGAGGATTGTTGCTGTCATCAAAGCCCTTGCTGTAGCCAAAGCCAAGCTGTGTGACTGGAAGCTTGCTGTGTTGCTTGGGGCGATTGTTCTGCCTCTTGCTTGTACGCATGTTGGACACCAACTTCTGTATTGTGGTGTTGGTTGCTTGGGGGCTTGTGCTGCTTTTGCTCTTGTGCCTTGCTGTTGCTCCTCATCATCTGACTCAAGTTGTCCGAAGTTTGTCCAGCCTGTCCAAGGCTTGTCTGATGTCTTTGCTTGCTGTTGTTGCATCTGTGTCTGATCCTGGTGGTACCAGTTGCTGTCATAGTGTGCCTGACTGTACCAGTCATCTGTTTGGTCATTGATGTCGAAGTTGCCAGTGTCGCAGTTGTAGATCGCCACTCTACATTGTTTGGCCATGTGTCCTGGTTGTCCGCATCTGTAGCAAGCATTTGTTGATTGCTTTCCTTTTGCTCCTTTTCCTCCTGGTTGATTGTTGTAGTATCCCTTGCCTTTTCCTTTGTTGCTGTATCCTTTGCCTTTGCCATATCCTTGTTGTCCTTGTATCCTTTGCCTAGTCCTTTGTTGCTGTATCCTTTTCCTTTGCCATATCCTTCTTGTCCTGGTGTCCTTTGCCTTTTCCCTTGTTGCTGTATCCTTTTCCTTTGCCATATCGTTGTTGTCCTGGTGTCCTTTGCCTTTTCCTTTGTTGCTGTATTCTTTTCCTTTGAAAGGATTTCCTTGTCCAACTGGTTGTTGATTGTATTTGCCTTTTCCTCCCTTGTAGTTGTTGTAGCTGTAGTTGTTCCCGTAGCCGCCATAGCCTTTGCCTTTGTTGTACTTTCCTTTGCCCTTGCGCTTGCCTTTGTTTCCTTTACTGTTGTTGTACCACGTTGCTCCTATGTCCATTGGTGCTGGTCCTCGGTTGCTGCTGTTTCCTGATGTGATTGCCTGTAGCCTGTTGGATGATGATGCTGCTCTGTAGTATCCTGCTTGTAACTGTAGGTGTTGCTGTAGTGGTCCTTTTGTCTCATTGAGCAGTATTGCGACTGTGACTGCATCTGGTAGTGGTGTGTGGTTGTCTTGTTCGTCCTTGGCGAGTTGAAACTCCCATGTTGTAAAGCTCTCTTCGAACTTCTGTTCATCGAGCTTTGGTTTGAGTAACCTTGTTAGGTATCCAATGCTTCGTGTGCCAAGTGGTGTGGAGTATCTCAGGTGTAGTGGCCGCCATGTCTCGAAGCTGTTGCCTTGCGCGTTTTGTCTGCAAATTGTAGACGCTGGTCCATCGCATGTGCTCACCAAGATGTAGTGTGAGTTGTTGCTCAGTTGTATCCATTGCTCTGCTACTGCTTGTGAAGGTGCTGCTGTCTCAAGTTGGCCGTTTGTAGCTGGCAGTTGTGATTGCTCTGACTGTCTCAGCAGTCTGTTGTGTGAAGGGTCTTGTAGCCCATGGTATGCTGTCATCTTGTACTTCCATTCTTCGAATGTGTTGTGTTCTCCTGTGAATCGTGGTGGTGCTATCTTGTACTTGTGCATTCCTTCGAGCTGATGCTGTTGCTCTTGTTGTTGTTGTTGTTGTTGGGCCGCCGTTCCTTGTGTGTTGTATGGAAAGGCCGCCAGATCTTTCCAGATGTGTAACTGTGTTCACTGCTGTATGCCCGAACCTGTGGGTGCGTGTTGGAGCTCACCCTGGGTAGTGTGTGTGGATCGTGTACCAGGGATCACTGCTCCGCTACCATGTTAAACTTGGATCAACTGTATACCTAATTGCCTGATGCGATGAACCTGTGTGTGAAGTGAAGCGCAGTTGTTTTCCTCTTGGCAATGATGTACTGTCTACTGTAGCTGTACTAAGGCAGGTCTGTACATAGGCTCAAGGCCTTGGGATGTATGGGCAGCGGATGTAGCCCAAATGTACTGCTAGAGAAAGCATGTAGTATTTAACACAGATACACGCTACACATATATATGTAGCATATACTTCACTCAGGATTAATCTTTGTTTTTGCGCCTTCTTTCGGGAGGCCCTGCTGCGTCTGCGTGGGCGGCCGTGGCGGAGGCCTGCGACGGCCTTACGGAGCTGCGCCTCGCCGCCGGGAAGCCAAGAATGAAAAGCAAAGAAAGGAAACGACAGGAATGGAAACGCGGAAAGAGGGGCAAGACAAGAGGGGCAAAGACAAAGGAAGTTGGAGAAGACAAAAGAGAGAAAATGGAGACCGAGCTGGAGAAAATGGGCAGAACATGAGTGAAAGAAAATGGACAGAAAAGAAAATGGAGAGAAACTGGAGTCTGAGGTGCCGATCTGTGGACCAGATGGACAGACCATTCATCTAGGACGGACAAACACTGCCCAAGTGTATTGCAAGACGAGTTATGCGAGTGTGCCAGGAGAGCCTCGTTCCAACTCCAGGCATGCGGGTGAAGCGAAGTATAGTTGCCGTTGAAGGAGTAAGCTGCCATGAGTGCAATACAAGTACCCGGAGTGTACTCTTTGCCTCAAGTGAGAAAAGCAAGCGGCAGCCTCAAAGCCAAAGGACTTCCTGCAAGAGTGCTGAGTTCACGTCAGCGTCCTTGCAAACTGGCAAGACAGACACGGAGGTTACCCATGCTTTTGTTGCTGCAGTTCTGACTATTCAGATGATTGCGTTGAGTGTCTCAAAACACGATGTTCATGCGTTCTAGTCGCCCACAGTTTGCAGTTGTTCAATGTACATAGACACATTGGCTGCGGTGTGCGCCACACAGCTTCAATGTTCGTCAGGAGTTGCTTTGTTGCTGGGGCCTGAGCCGGCTGGGAGCAGTGAGCAGTGAGTGCGGGAGCTGAGGCGCAGAAGTTCGGGCGCCTGAAAATTCGCCCCGAGAGACGGCAGGCGCCAGGGTGACTCGACTCGAGGCGGTCTGTGGATCCTCGCCTTTTGGAAGAAGGCGGCGGAAGTTCGGAAGCTTTTTGCTGACCGGGCAAAGGCAAAGGCGTGCCCTGTCAGGCCCTTCCCGGCCGCAGACCTAGACTCCGCATGTGCCACGCATTTGACGCATGTGATGCATGTGCACACGAAAATATTTATCGAGACATGTTGAGAAAGAATTGGCACTTAGGAAGCTCTTGGCGGAAGGCTGCCTTAGGCCAATGTCACACAGATGTAAAGAGGGGCCTGAGGTCATGCTGCACAAACAGCTTGGCAACTGCAGCGGGAACACTTGGGACTCCTGAAGCTCGGCACAATGTGGTGACCTTTGGATTTGACGGCGCCGGCTGACTGTCAGGATGTGGATGGAGAGGTGCCTTGGTGTTGTGTTTGAAGAGACTCTGCAAACTACATTCTGAGGCGATCAAACGCCTACGACTCACTGAAAGTGCAGATCAACGAGGCCATGCGGCAAGTGAGCCAGTTCAAAGCTCAAGGCATATTTGCGTATCAGGCCACTGGCCATGGCTGGCACCTCGGCACTGAGCACGTCAAGCCGGAGAAAGGGCATCTGAGGTGCCATCACGGATTCTCAGGGCTGGCCAATTTACGACTGCCAAGGCTCGTGATCGTATATAGATGCAAAGATTGCAAGATATCGCAAGATGCGAGGCTTGCCTCTGAGGGACCTTTACCAGTGCCCAAATAGAACGACCCAACCCACCCAAAGACTTCAAGACGAGGTACTGCGTGTACTTGTTTCCGTGGAGACCGTGGCTGCGAGCTGTCCGTGCCCCAAAGCTGTCCGCTCCGCCTTCGCGGCCTGCGGGCCCTGCGGGCCATGCGGGCCATGCGGGCCCTGTGCCAGGATGGAAGCCCATGCTGTCCACAGGGTGTCCGTGGCTCAGTGCGAGCCTTACCGAAAGGGAACGCGTAGGTGTGGAGCCTTACCGAAAGGGCCTTGGCGTACTAGCGCCTTGGGTGCCGGCTCAGGGAGGCGCGCCGTCTCGCCTCGCCGTTTTTCCGCATTTCCGTGAGCGTTTGCGAGCGTTCGCAGGCATGCAGGACCTGGAGCGGCAGCAGATTAATGACTGGCTCTCTGATTGGCTGGTGGAGGCAGAGGCCAGCGCGAGAGAGAGGGAGAGAGTCGGAGAGAGGGCAAGAGCATGTCTCCGATTTAGCGGAAGTGATGCACAAGTGGCTTCTCAGAGTCCCGTAGGCGGCTTCTGCAGCTCGCGAGGACATAGAGATGGGACTGTTATGCCTGCACCTTCTTCTTTTTCGCAGGAGCTGCGCCAGCTCCGGTGGTATTCGCAGGCCGAGTTGCATATGCCATGTGCCCCACGCATCTTAAGATACACCTGCTGCCACAACAGCTGCATCACTGCATGTGCTACAAACTGGCCCATGCCTTGAGCTGAGTACAATAGATCTACAATTGCCCGAGTGCAAACGAGAGATCGACGTTGTCTTAGGCCGCACTTACAGTGGCTACAGGTATTCAACAGTCACACTTGTTTTGCGTGGTGGCGGAGCAGTAGCCACAAACACATACACACACAGACACACACGATTACACACGCGCACACACACACACACACTTTTGGGAAGATCTTCCATGCGATACAACAAGGAAGGGTGGCTCAACAGCAACCGCAACAACAGCAACAGCTAGAAGGAACACGCAAGCGCCAGATAGCGCCACCACAGTTCACAGGAGGGCGCGCAACGTTTGCAGCGTGTAAGTACAATATGACAGCACACCTGGGACTACAAGAACCAGCGTGCAGCAGCCTGCTACGTCAGTCAACGCTCGGGGTCGCAAGGGATGAATTGGAGCAAGCAGCGCCCACACAGGCAATGGCAGAGGAATGGATACAGCTGCGCAGCAGTTTACACCACCTCTTGGTGAGCACAAGCGACGGATCGACAATCTGCAGAGAAAGCCTGCAAAGCAACGGATATAAAGCATGGCGAGTAGTACAGATACTGAGCGCCACTTGGTGCAAGAAGCATTGGGCCTTGCAAGGCTATTCAAGCCTCAGCTTGACGACCACGAGTTGGAGGAAGCTTATACAACACGGGAATTCCAAATGTCAGCTCACCATCATTCACCAAGTTACAAAGCGCAAGCAACCAAGGAGCGCCAATGGACACAGGAGCCAAGAAGCGCAAAGGCAGTGGAGGAAAGTGCAACAAGAGCGGCTTGTGGGACCTACAGCCACAATCAAAGGCAGAAAGGAGAAAAAGGACATCAGCACTCTCAGCCCGCGCCTTGGCAATGCCCTGGCCGAAGCTGGAGCAGTTGGTTGGCATCATGTCCATCATCATTTTAATCACCGAATCATCATCACCATCATCACCATCATCACCATTATCATCATCATCATTGTCATCGTCATCGTCATCATCATCATCATCATTATCATCATCATGTTCATCACCTTTCTTCATCATAATGTTCATCTTCTTCGTCATCAGATTCATCATATTTCTTATCATCATTCATCGCCATGATCATCATCATTTTCGACATCATTTTAATCATCATCTTAGTCATGTTCATCATCATTGTCATTTGTCATGTACCTCAACTTGTTTTTAAGCCACGTACGAAAGCGGGGGGGCAAGCGGCAGTTTTCCATCTAGACTCAAGGGCCCTGTGAGCCCAGTAGCGGCGGTTAGGCGGTTCATCGCCTGAAGGTGACATGCGGTTTCACACTCCTATAACTTTACAGGTGTGAACCGCCGGCCCCTCATTGGGGGCTACGTGCAACGTCCACCTCCCGTTGTCCAGCGCCCGCCTCAGGTCATCCCGCATAGCCTTCGTCATGCTGTCCACCAGCATGTCCTGCGTGGCGATCCAGTAGATCTTGTCGGTAGCGTCCTCTGGCATTTCCTGCACCTGGACGTCACCCACTGCGCTTCCTCGGGACCTCCACAGCTGGCGAAGTGCCGTGAGGTCGATTGCCAGCCTTTTGTCGCTGACAGGCGCTGGGTGCCGGAGAGATAGTCCAAGCTCCGGATCCGTCACCCACACATCCCGGGAGTCGGATGCATTCACCGACCTTGGGCTTCAGCGCGTGCCGGCCTTCCACTGGCGAGCCCATGCATGACGGCTCGCACATGTGCTCCCTCTGATCCCATCGAGATAGTCTCCAGCGACCGGCATAAGCGGATCGTCGATGCCCATTCCAGCGGGCACAGGTGGTCATGTTCTCCGGGATGTTGGACAGAAAGACCATCCCTGAGAGCGGTATCCCTTGCCATTCAATTCTCGTTTACTCCGCCGCGTGGGATGCGTCGGTCAAGCTCATGCAGTTGTCAAAGTCGACCGTGCCCTTGTGGAACCTGATGCCGTAGGTGCTCGTCTTCTGTGCTGAGCTCAACAGCTTGTTGGATTCAATCAGGTCCCGGACGTTGGGCTTGCTCTGCCGGCTCTGCAACGTGGAGCACTTGTAGCATAGCTCCGGCCTGCACAGCCTTGCCACATAGCCTATGCTTCCCACGGCTCTCTGCGATGTCTCGGCCAAAGTGGCCGCCTGGAGGTTCTTCTTGCGCTCGGCATCGATGCGGATGCCCTTCACCTTCGCCAGGCACTCTGGGGTCGTGATCTCTATAGTCCTTGTCGGAGATGCTCCTCCCGCAATACCGGAAAGGTGAAGCGCCTCTGAACCACCTCCATGACCCGATCCATCTCAGGGCCTCCACACCAAAGAAGATCATCCACGTGTGTGGTTGCCATCCCCAAGATCTTGCCATTCTCCTCCAGGACATACAGTGCGGGCTCTCCGTGTACTTCTCGAAGTCCGGCTCGCACCATTTCCTCCCACAAGGCCAGGTAGAAACCTCGGGGAGCATCTCTGCTTCCGTACACCGACATCTCTGCCGTCCTGCAGTGCCCGTGCCGTCTGTGGGAATTTTTCGGGGTACCCTCATCACCAGCGTATACCAGCGTCCTGCGAATTGCCACTTGGAGGAACGCAGATATGTCCCCTGAGAGTGTAGCCTCGTGATGCAAGAGCTACCATGTGGACTGACACGCCAGTCGGGCAGTCTCTGAAGTCTCCAGCCATGTCACGCGTGAGTGACCAATCGGCTCTACTTCGGCTCCCGCAGCTTCTCATCGCTGTCAACCCGGGTATGCAACGGCCTCTTCCCATCGTGAGGTCCGTGGTCGCATGGTACTTCTGTCCCCACTCCTTGGCTCCGCGTAACTCCTTCTGGACCTCGGTTTCTTCATAGATGAGCCCTCCAACGGTCTTGTCCTCTCTTCTCTTCGCCATGAAGCACACGAACTCCTTGTTGCGGCTCCTTTTCGGCTCCTCTTCTTCTTCCACCAGCAGGCTGTCAAAGAGTGTGATCAGGTCCATCTCTTCCTCCTGCTGCTCTCTCCTGTACGGTTCTGACCTTCGGGCCAACCTTCCAGCTCCTGCATTTCGCCTCATCGCCTGCATCAAGGGCGTCTCCTGTAGCGCTGCTGCGTCAGGTGGTGATGGATGTAGCGGTTGGCTGGAACCAGCGGCCTCGGCGTCTGGCACATCCTCGGCGATCTTCCTCTTGCGATCACCCTCCTGCATTGTTTGACCAAGGTCCTCATCCTCCTCCGGGATAGTTGGTAGTACAGGAGGTTCCTCGCTTCTCGCCGGCGGTGCTTCTCCCTGAGGTGCTTGTTGTGCTTGAGGCGCATTCTCTCTGCTGCATGTGTCCCTTGATCCTCCTCTGGCTCTTCAGCTCCTCGATCTGGACCAAGGGTCTCATCCACAATGCTGTTGCCATCTGCGAGGTCAAGGAATCCACTCTGCTCCTGGTTGTTGCGCTTGTGGCCGTCTGATATCTGCTCAAGTGCTTGGAGCGGTGGTCTTCCCCGTCGGCGTACCGGGCGTTGCAGTAGCTCACTAGCCAGGAACTCCTCCGCGCTTGCTCCCCTCCTGTGCCAAAACCTTGGCCGGTCCAAACCAGTGTCCTCCTGGTCCAGCATGTCCCCTGACCCGATGGAACACCAGCATGTCGCCCAGCTTGTAGTACTGCTCCTGTGCGTGGCTCTGACGAAGCATCCCAGCCCGCACCCGTTGTGCATCCACCTGGCTTCTGCGGCTGCTTGTCGGTTGTTGGGCAAATATGGAGTTTCTGTCCGACTGATCATCCAAGTAGCCCATGGCGTGATCTTCTGGTATGGACATTCTGTTGCCTCAAACCGTAGTGTGCAGCCCCGGCGATGCAGCTCCTGCTGGAACACACCCTGGTTGTGCGTGCCGGGTACGCCTTAGGGTGATGCCGAGGACCTCCGCAGTTTGGTAGAGCGTGCCCTGATCGATGATGTGAAGGATCTGCCATCTCTTCCCCTCCGGATCCTTCACTTCGAAGATGGCCAAGCCAATTTCGGCGTTGAACTTGAAACGCGGAGGCGGTCGAACAATGGCAGGCTTCCGTGGTCTGCGATGGCTCTCACAAACGGCGCACTTGAAGTGGTCCACGGCCTTGATCACTGGCGCGGCTTCCGCCAGTCTCAGCATTCTCTTCTGCGGCTTGCTGGTGTGGTTGAGCATGGTGTGGAGTCTCCGTAGCGAGACTCGCTCCTCTCTAGTGAGCTTCAGCCAGCTCTCCTTTCTCTGCTGATCTGCATGTGGAGCTCCTGGGTTTTTTTGTTCCTGAAGGATCTCAAGGTCTGCCTCTCTGTGCTTCTCCTCATCGGTGACAGGCAATGGTAGGCAGCGATCCTCCTCACTCAAGATCGCGTCCAGCAAGTTGCTCTCTTCCTCCTTGTCCTCTTCCAACGCCTCCGCCGGAAACGCATAGTTGACCTCATTCTTCAGGTCCTCAACGCCAGCCATGCGTCTGCACAGTAACTTCGTCCATGCCTGCTGTGTCCGTTTCCCTCCGGAGTTGCTCCCCTCCAGCTGGTGTTCATGGTCTTGACTCAGGCTGACCTTCTGCGTTCCCGGCGAGTTGGTTCCCAGTCGGCTTCTGAGGCATGCCGCTGTCCTTGTCGTGGAACCCGTCTTCTCCTTGCGTTGGGTACTCCTCCAGGTCTCCGAAGTGCGAGGCCTCTGAGGTCCATGGGTTCTCCAACAGCTTCACCCAACGTAGGACGGGAGTCCAAATGCGTCTCTTCTCCATGACCTGTTCCCAACGCTCTGGGTCCTTCGTGAGCATCCATTGACTCCACCAAGTGCACGGCCAATGGAGACGATGGGGTCGTCCTTCTCAATCTCTTCTGCCCGTCTGTCCTCACGGACATTCCATCGGTTCAAGTCCAGGGGCTCCGACACGTATCCGGAGTGCAGACCTGTGGCATGGCCACCCCGAAGATCTCCAGTGCGGTTTTGCACCCATTGGGCAAACCGGCAAACCCTTTGGTCCTGACCGTTGGACCGCGTGGTAGATCCTACGATCCTGGTCCTGCATGTAGGACACGTTCTTCTTCAGCCCTTCCTTCTGGTGCTTGGTCATTCTCTTCCGCTTGTCGTCCGAGCTGGAGGCACACTTCCGGTAGCTGGGGTCGATGTTGTGGTAGAACCCGGAAGGTGCTCCGGCCTTTCCACGGCCGGTTATCTTTGTCCTGCCCCTGACGACTGTAGTAGAAGTATGTCCTCAGGTTCCTTAGGCGTCCATTTGCTGTTCCATTGCACCTCCGATGTCCTTCCTCGCACGGTTCTCCAACACCTGGCCCGTGTCCATGTCCATAGTCCTCCAGTAGACCTGCGATCTGACCTTCTCGTTCTTCGTCTTCTAATAGATCCGGCCGTCCTGGATCCAAGGGGCAGGTGCTTCCACTTCTCGGTCTCGACCTGATCTCCTCTCTCCGTCACTCTCTCTTCCAGGTCCGCAGTCTGGATGCCGTGGATGTCGTTCGAGCTTGGCAGGAAGGTATATATATATATAATATATACACGTCCTTCTCGTGTTGTGCCTGAGTACCCCGCGTGGTTAAGGTACTCCCACTCGTGCTCGTCCGGCTCGTCCTCCTCTTCCTCGTGCACCGGGGATGCCGACCTTCTCCTTGAGCTGCTAGGCTCCGGCTCCGGCGGATGGCCGTACCTCGGGCAGACTCCAAGTGGAATCTCTCCCTCACTGGCCACCTCCGTAGGTGCTTTGCTGCTTCCCGGCTCGCTTGGCGGGTCATCTTCAAACTCAATCTCTTCCACATTCAGCACGGGGTCTTCTGGAAGTTCTTCAAAGATTCCATCTGCTGTCTCGTCTGCAACGTCGATCCCTTCTTCCTAGGCATGGGCAACTGTCTGCTCCCGGTCCTCATCGTTCACCTGGTTCCCGGGCTACGAAGATCCCGTACAGGTTCTTCTCCTTGCACTTGATGAGCTTGAGCGAGGTTCCGAGCGTCACGCTGTAGCACGTCCCAGCATGGAGTCCGTAATGAGCCCGAGTTGCTCTTGCGCCGTGACGGACAGCAAGAGTGGTGCTTCGCTGTTTGCGAGCTCGGTCGACTTGAGAGTGCCCGTGACGAAGACTCCGTCCACCGTCTTCAGCCCCAAGTAGAGCTCGCGGATGCCCTTGGTACGTGTGTACCCTCCGATGCCTTTGAAGCTCTTGCTCGCGGTGCTGGACCATCCAAACTCCTCGCCGTGGCGCCTCTGGAATTGGTCCATCCACACTTCTCCATGGCAGGTGCTGTTGCAGCCGCTGTCCAGGTAGATCAAGTCGTACTTGTCCACCGGCGCTTCATCACTGACAGGGCTGATCGGCTCATTGAGCGCCATGAAGCCTTCTCTTGAGAACTCTTCTCTCTTCTCTTCCTCCGCCCCTCCGGACGTCTTGCTCTCCTCAGGGCAGAGGTATCCTGTCCCGGCTAAAGCGCCGAGACGTCTGGCACACATGGTGGCTGCCTTCATGTTCATCTCTGAAGCCGTAGGTCCCGTCTGGTAGCCCTCGAAGTGCTCCGGACCATGTCGAGAATCTCCTTGGCCTTGTCCCACTGCTCAAGGGTGTCCACCATCGGCCTGTTGATCGATGCAAGAGGTGCTTCACCTGGCACCGGTCGGGGCATGCCAGGTCGTCTCGGTGTCCTCTCGGAGGCTCCACACTTCTTGCAGGTCCACATGTAGACATGGCCGTTGGTGCCGCTCCAGGAGACGTCTTGGTGCTTGCAACCTCCTGAAGCGTTCCCTTGTTTGGACTTACTCTGGACCTCGAAAACCAGCTTCTCCTCCTTCTCCTTCAGCAACAACTTGCCGCAAGCCTTGCAGCTCTTCATGTTGACGTGCCCGGTAGATCCTCTCGTGGTGACGTTGGCGTGCTTGCACTCCTTGCTCGGATTCTCCCCCGTCTTTCCACCGGTAGAGCTCGATGGCCTCTCAGCAGGGGCTTCTCCAGGCGGAGCCAACGTAGGCGGCCTCGCAAATGCCTTGGGCGCCATCCAAGCTCCTTGCGGAATTCGCTATCTCTGGCGACAGCTTCAGCATTCAGCACCCGAGCGACATGCTGCTCGAGAATCGAGAATCTGCTCTTCCATCTCTCGGCAACTCCAACCAGATCCTGCGGGCTGTCTTGTTTGTCTTGTTCTCCACTTTGAGGGGTCCATGTAGGCGTTGGACTCCTCATGGCCATGGCCTCGGCTTGCGTGTTGGGCAATTCCTCCCAAAGAACACGGATCTGGTCTTAGGGCTGCCAGTTCCCTTGCCCTTGCTTTGGTTTCCTCCTGAAGGCTTGTGCTTGCCTTTGGGCTTGCCGCCTTTTCCGCGCTTGGGACAAACTGGGTCGTGACGCCAATGACCAACTTGTCCACAAGCTCTGCATCGGCTTCTCTGCTTGGCGGCCATCACCTTCGCCTGCCTCTCCTGCATGGTCAGGTTCCCGGAGACGTTGTAAGTCGTTGAGCCTGACGTTGCTGGTACTGCCAGCCCGTGGTTGGCTACATGATGCTACATGTCCTCTCACCATGTAGGCCTCCTGCTCGGTCTCCACCGCGTCCAGCATTCTCTGAGTCCGCCATGAACCCAGATGCTGTGCTCGCCGTAGAGCTCCTCGAAGTAGCGCGAACTTCAACTGCTTCCTCAGTGCGCTCCGCGGCCTTTCATCCCATGTCCTTTGCCGCGTTCGCGCTCATGAAGCTGCAGTTGCTCCCGTGCTGCTGTCAACTTGGGCATGTCCATGCCGACCGTGCGGATCTGCTGCATCTCGCTGAGGCCTGACAGCAATTGCTCACGAGATCGTGTCCGAGCAACACAAACTGCTGTCCATCGAAGTCAGCTTCGTCCACCAAGCTTCTCGCCTCAGTAGCTGCTCGGCTCTCCATGCTGGCGGCTCAGGATGCCGTTCTCCTTGGCTCCGGCCATGAAGAGGTCCGCAGCGGCTCTCTTCAGCGGTCGCAGCTGGCGATCAGGGTCTCCACTCCTTTCTTCTCTTTGAGCTTCTCCACCCCGATGCGCTTTGCGATCTGCAAGGCTGGTCCCGTCTCTCCACCAGCCTGAGGGCCAGCGGTCCCAGCTTCTGGTTCTCCTCATGGCCTCCTTCGCCTTGGTGGTCTGGAACTTCCAGTCCTCCCAGAGGGTCGCCAAAGGGTGCCCCTTGCCGGCCCAGATCTGCCTGGGGCCTGAAGGCATGATATCAATTAATATCAATGATACTTCAACCCATCCAGATGCTCGGGTGGCGAAAGCCTCCTGGTTCTCCCCGTTCTGCGTGTAGGCCCCTCGGGGCTCTGCCAGTTTGAAAGCGGGTTCAAGCCGCATCCGTAGCAAGCGGCTTTTTTTCCATCTAGACTCAAGGGCCCTGTGAGCCCAGTAGCGGCGGTTAGGCGGTTCATCGCCTGAATGTGACATGCGGCTTCACACCATGAATCGTTCATCACTGCGTAAAGCTAAGACCACGATGACAAGAGTTTAGAACTGATTAGGATCAGGATGATGATGCTTGTCATCATTTGTGACTTGACAAATGTGATTGTAGCATGCCTTGCGTTGCAAGTGATTATGATGAATGATCATGGTAATGATGACACCCTTCCCCATGTACCTCGCCCTTGCAGACAAAGGGTCGGCGGATATCTATACCGATATATATATATACATAATACACGTGTGGCGCGCGCCGGCACCGTAGGAGTTGCAGCCCGCCGTGCTGCGAGAGATGGCTCTGGCAGTGCCTCGAAAGATCTCGAGAGCGTTGAGAGAGTGGAGACTTTCCCTCCACGTCACATCTTTCTCACGCTTCTCTCGATTTTCCCTTTCGCTCCCTTTCCCTTTCCGATTGCGTTCTTTGCAAGGTATTGGAAAGACGGAGCTTCCGCGCCCCTTCGGGGACGCCCCGGGAGGCGCAGCGCGCGCAGGCGCGGCTGGACGAGCTGCCACCCGGACCTTGGCAGGCAGGACGACCGGAGCGCGTTCCATCGCGCCCGGATGAGTTGCGCGCCTGACGCGATTCTCGTCTCATTCGGAAGGTCGATGGCCTTGGCTCCCACGAGATCTTGGCGCCGGGCGCTTCAGCTGCCGTTTCGCGGCCCACACCGCACTGCGCTGCCAGCTTTGTCAACGAAGATCTTCTTGACTCAGACGACATGCCCTTCTACGATGAGGCCACTGCGAGTAAGCCGCCTCTCAGCGCGTGCGCAATCCTGAGGAGCTGGTGCCTGATTTCATGGATGCGACCTTCGGAGTCATCCGTTTTCACGTGTGGCTCTCAAACATATGAGTCAAATAGCGCGGCGGATCAACGCGGCTTTGGCAGCGCCACAAGGTTCGAAGTCCTGGAGAGAACCCGAATCCTGACGCGCGGCCTAGCACAACTCCGGTGAACATGGCAAGGAGCTCAGATGTTTCAAGTTCCAGCGCCAAGGGAACCTGAAGCTCCTACCAAACGAACACTCCGTGCGCCGGGCGACAGCCTTGCCGGGGCCTTTGGGCATGTGTTTGTTTTTTTCTTTGCAAGAAGATGGAGAAACCAAACTAAGTCTCCTCGTCGACCTCCACCAGCTCGTGTTACACACCATGTGCGGCTCCATGAGGCGTGTTCCATTCGCTTCAAGCAGTGTCAAAGCGGAATGCGTGTCAAAGAGCATGGATCAGTTTGGCTTGGCATTACTTGGCCCCCAACCGTCAACTCAGTTCCCTCCCTTTGCCCTTTCTTGTCCCTCCTTCAAGCACAATCCCCTGCGTTAAAAAATCAAAAACTCACCCCTTTGAGCCTGGAAGCGACAAGCCGGCTGTGTCGCTGGGTCTAGTCCGATGTAGATGTCGTTGTTCAAGAGCTTGGTGACGATATATACCTGGAGATTCATTCTCCGGCCTTTCCGAGGTGTTTTGCTTTTCCGGTAGTCTTGGGCGTGTTGGGGCTATGTGATTTCTAGCAGATTTGGCCCCGAACAAACAACACGTTTGTTTCTGATTTGCGGGCGTTCGCGGGTTTTGCGGGAGTGTTGCTGGCGTTTTGGGGGCAATTCTGGGTGGGGAAAGTCCTGAAATCTCACGTGCCGAATCAACAGAGTATAGGAGTTTGAGTAGTCTTAGGCGACTTCACAAAAGAAACCACGAAGTTTAGGAAAAGCAAGTTAAAGACGAGAACTACCAAGAAATTCATGGAGAAATCCAGGCAAGAATTGAACTTGTGAGTCCGCGCGGCACGCCTGTGTTACCGAGCAATCTAGGTGCGTCGTAAATAGCCAGGGCTTGGGCCAAACTGCGACAGTGTACGATTGCCTATGAATCCACCGCGAAAGCGCAGCAAAAGTAGACTAGCGTGGCCCCTTCCTTTTTAGAGGATGACACGTGCAAATGGAAGGTCATAGAGCATGTGGCATAGCGAAGCGTGGCGTGCGTAGCCGCTTTGTGACCGAACCCCGCCCTGCGTGGCCAGGTAATATATATATATATATATGTTTAGCTGCCATTCCCCCCTTCGCGTTTCGCCTCCCCATCATCCCGGGTTTATTTCACCACGAATTTACCATGAACATAGTCGAAGCCAGCCTAAGCCAACCCTAACCCAGCCATAGACCAGATCCAAAATCACTATCACAAGCACCTTACAACCACCTTGAAGCCACCCTAAACCAAGGCCTAATCCAATAGCTTTCATGTTAAAGACGATGCTAGTAGCGCTGATGGTGATACAGCATGTTAACATGCCCGGGACACTTTGGTTTTTTGATGCTGAGACCTCCAAAATTGCACACGTCCAGGTGAGAAACACCTTGGTGACTCTCCACTTGCCCCTCAAGCAGCCGGGCTTGGACTGATGTTTTGCTTGGCCTTATTTACATTTGCTTTATGTGCAGCAAATTGCAATGGGGAGATTCACGTAGGCATTTAATTCCGCCTTGTTTTTGTCAGGCATTTGGAGACCATGGCGCGGTGGCTGCCGGCCTTTGGCTTCGCCGTGGCTTGCGAGCGCCTGGCGCTGCCGGTGGCGGAGCGCTGGGCGCCGCTCTTCTTCAGCTCCGCCACTTGCGCCGTCTGCCGCCACCGGCCCAGCGCCCAGGCGGCAGCGGCCGCGGCTCCCCCAGGCCCGACCACCGTTGCGCGCATTCCAAAGTCCGGCCATTCCTACGTCGCCTTGCGTCGCCTTGGGGAACTTGGAGATTCACCACGACCACGGATAAAACCGTTGTGCCGTTTTGAGAACTAGGGAGACCCCTGCTGTCAAGCGAACTCACTGCTCGCAAGCCAGCCAAACGACAACAACCCGGCTTCAGGCGCCGTGCGAACCTTCACCGCGTCAATCCACATGCCTCGATTTGCTCGTGTCATCCTCAGAAGCGGCACCGCCAGTCCTCCGCTTTGCCCGCAAGTGAGTTGTTGCCAGCGTTCCCACCTCACCAGTCACCCTCGTGAACGGGCACGATGGCGTCGTGCCTCCCATAGACCTCCGTTCCTGGTTTTGGATGGGGACCGCGACCCTCATTTCTCGCCAATCCTCATGTGAAGTTCCACTTAGTTCATCAGCCACTGCGCTGAACCTGGCCTTGCAACTCGCTGAGCTCGACCGCCGTCCGGCTCCGGCTCCATGTTCTCCATCTGAGCCTTGCTGCGCCTCACCGTCAGCCTCCGGATCCTGGAGGTTTTCCGCAGTTTTCCGACAGGCCCAGTGTTCGGACCCGGTGATGTTACGGATGCACGACGGCCATCACCATGCCGCAAATCAGGATAGTCACATTCACGTCCTCCCCTCGCCAACATCCTCACTCATTTTTGCTTCTCGACCATGATCGCAGACGCAACCTTGAACTCGCCATCCTCCCCTGCCGGCGCCAAATTCCCCTCCTCACGCGCGCGACGTAGATGCAACCCTCAGTCTTAAACATCTCGTCCGCCGCCTCGTTGTCTGAAAGCAGCATCTTTGCGAAGTCATCAGGACACTGTCTATGGGTTCGACCAGCTCGCACTAAGCCGACAGCGCCGGGCTGCCATGCCACCACTGTGCCATTCCAGCACATCAAGCATCCCTTAGCCCAGTATGAAGCCCAGCGCCCCTTAGCAGCCGCCTTCATGCCGTACGGCAAGTTCTGACAGGGCGCGGCTTGCAAGTTTCCAGGAAAAAGAACCTCAAACCCGATCAAGGTTGTCCGACAGTACCAGCGCCTTGATTTGTCCATCCAGTGGGCCCCTCATCAGTCCCTCGGTCAAGAGGTCGTGGTTGGCATCCCGGACGATGTACTCCAGGACGTCGAAGGTCCCGCCTTGTTCTCGAAGTCCAAATCAAAACCTTCACGGGGTCTAGGAAATGGATGAACCACTTCCGGTCAAAACGTCTCGGTCCGACAGTACCAGAACCTCGATTTTTTCCACCCACTCTGGCCAACCGCAGATCCTCACTCCTCGTCAACTGATTGACTCTGAGCACCTGCGTCCCCCCCCGGCCAACTCCTTGATCAACTCCAACGCCGTGACAATCCGCAGTTCTGGACAGCCTTGATTTATCGCCACCGGCGGAACACTTCGTTCTGGAGGATTTTTGCAGTGGCCTCCCTTCCTACATCCAAGAGCTGAAATGCTGAGGTGATTGAGCCACCAAGGTGCCACCCGGAGTCAGTTTAAGGACTGCCCCGCTGCCAACTCCACTGTGCTCTCATATGAGAGCACCCTTCTCGTCTCCTGAACCTTGGACAGCTTGAGGCTGATTTGCTTCTCACCTTGAGGCTTCTAAGCATCGCATCCGAGACGGCTTTGCGTGGCTCGCTGGAAGATCTCCCGAGCCATCGCTGACGTTGCGTCCTCGGGCTCCACGACAGGCTTTGTCCTTTGTCCCGCGTCTGCGAGTTCAAGCGTGTTTCGTGACTTCGCACGTCTTGAAGGCCAGCTCCAGTTGCTTGTCCCGACTGAGCACTCGCACTGTGCCATGGCTTCGCAACCACTTCAAGCCTCAGGATGATCCATCAATGTCTGGTACTTCAGGTATCTCTTCGCCAGCTCGCGAGCTGCTGTTGCATTTCCTTGCCCTGAACGATCTTGAGCAGCACCTCCGGCTTGGTCGACTTGTCCGCCACAAACTCTGAGGTCTGATCGCGTACAGGTCGTTCGGGACCCACAGGGTTCTGCTGATCGCCCGCCCTTGTCACACACCGCTGCATCTCTCTACACATGATGTTCACGCATCAACTGCATCCTGGGTCGGATCTGGCCACGGCAATCTCGAAAGTTCTTGGGGTGCATCAGGCGCATGTGCTCTAAACAAACCCCGAAGAATCAGTTCAACATGCCTTCTTCCTTGCCCTCCTTGCCCTCCTTGCGCTCGTTCGCGAGTATTTGCATCTTTCGGGCCCTGATCAGATCCATGGCTCAGGAGGAACACGTTGCCCAATGGGCAATCAGCCCGCGCAGCGGTCTTTCTAAGCGGCTGAAGGGGTGCCAGGCTAATCTTCTCCGTCCATTTGCGCAGGCAAGGCTGAGGCCGTCTTTCCACAAAGGACCCGAACCTTTGCGCGCCTGCCAGTGCACACATGGCAAAGCACCAGGCCAGTGTGATCTGAACGGCTTGTGCGGGGATTTGGATCAGTGGTTGAACGGGGAGTTCGTTGCGTTTCTTTTTTACACAAGAGTTGTTAGGGAGTCATTTGTGTAATGAAAGGGCTTAGATTTGCCCTGTTGGAGATCAGTATGCGACAGGGTTGGCAAAAAGAACTGGGAAGACCTTTGTTGAGGTTGGATTTTCCTGAAATCCCGAAGCTGCGCCAAGCCCCTTGCAAAGCACTGCTAGCATCGAGTATTTGCACAGCATTTGCTTTCGCAGTACGCAGGGGTTACTTATATCGTTTCTTGCGCAGCTACTTGCATAGCGTTACGTGCATAGTGGCTACTTGCGCAGTGCTACTTGTAGTGAACATTTGCGATTCCCAGATGGACTGTCCTACGCCTGTAATGAAATCTTACAATGTTCTATCTGGAGCTGCCATATGCCTGTACTATCTATTTTTGAACAGTTGCGAGTTTCGAGCTGGAGCAGCGGGTGCAGTTCGTGCAGTTCGTGCAGTTCGTGCAGTTCGTGCAGTTCGTGCAGTTCGTGCGGGGCCAAAGCATGCTTCAGGTTCCGCCCTTGAGCGGAGTTGGGGTGAGGTGGAGAATTGGAGTGGGGTTGCAAGCTGATGAGCGCAGTCACAGTCAAACACTGCAAACCGATAAGTGGGGAACACGGCGAACATGAGTTGTTGTGACAAGAAGCTTTTTGCACACCCAAGTCATGAGCAGTACCTTTGTTTTTCCTCGGGCTTTATCAATTACCGTTTTAAAAGGGGAAACGGCAAAGCGGGTTTCCCGTCTTACTGCGGAATCTGTGAGGAGGACCCAGTAGCATCGACCCCACCTGGCCAGCACAGCCGCTCAAGAGCCCCCATTACGCGCTGCTCACGCGACTGCCAAGTGAAAGAAGCGCGCGCAAGAGCATCTGCGCAGAACTGCAAACATACACACACAAACGCGCTAACGCATGCCTCCTTGATGAGCGCGCGCACGAGAAAAGGCATCCATTCAAGCAGCCTGCCATGTGATAAGCGGACCTCAACGTGCCACACTAAGCGCCGCTCATGTCCCTGCCAAGTGAATAGTTCGCCCGGCCAAGAGCTCCTGCTCGGCCGAAGCGCGCCTCAAGTTCGCCAATGCGCTGCTCAAGTGCCTGCGTGATAAGAGCCTGCAACAGTCGCTCAGCACTGTGCTCAAAACAACTGCGATCCACTAATTCTTCGATTCTTCGACTTATTCGATTTTTTGATTCTTCGACCGTTTCCGCGGGGCCCTTGTCGAGTCTGCCCTCCAATGACATGTTGACAGCTGCAAACTGACTTTGCCGTTTTGGCAGGTTTCCTTTACTTGGACGCTGTGGAGCGAGTGCTGGCGCTGGTGACGGTTTGGGCGCTCCATGGCATGGGCCAGGACTTCGGGTTCGCAGTGCTAATCCTTCCGCTGGGGACGGCAATGCTTCGGGGGATCTGCGGCCTCGGCTTAGACCGCGGCTTTTCCCTGGCTCTGGGTTTGGCCCTGGCGCTGCGCAGCTTCCGTCTCTGCTGCGGCCTCCTGCTGGTGACCGGCGCGCTCCGCGGTCTGGCCGTCATGCGGCTGCTCAGACCCGGGCTCTTTGGGCTCTTTGGGCTTCGTGGCTGGGGCCTGCTCTGGAGGTCTGAGTGGAAGAAGGAGTGCAGCCTTGCCGTCTTGAACACCCGGACGGAGTCACACGAGCCCTACCCGGATTTCGGAGTCTTCCAAGCTGTGGACAGGTCTGCCAGCGGAGATGCGCTGCCTATGCTTCTGGTGGTTCACATGTTGGGCTTGCAGATCCGAGCTGTGCAAAGCCCAGAGCACGGCGGCTGGGGTTTTGAAGGTCCCAGCACCAACGAGCGGCGAGTTGCAGGCATTCGCAAGCGTTTGGTGCTCTTTGAGCCGTGCCCTCCAGGCCTCACTGAACATGCCACAGACTCACACAGATCTTCTGTGCGTTCTGCGGAGAGATACAGACGCGAAGTGCAAGATGCCATTCCGTCAGTGGTCAGCCGCACCCAGTTGGTGGGCGCTGAAGAATTGCCACAGCTGGTCGCCACAATCCATGTGGTGAATCACCTTGGTCGCCCTTGGTCTTGCCAGCGGAACGATTCCTTCCTGTCACTTTACATGCCATGGGGCCTGGATTCCAGACAGCCGGCTCTGACCAGCTTGCCAGGAGAGCAAGATCGGGATTGGAAAAAGTGGCGCAACCTGACCACCGAGAGCCCTGAGCTGGTTGAAGCATGGCGATCTCGGATCCTCAGATGGCTGGATGAAGAGCTGGCAGCAGGCATGGTGGAGCATGGAATCTTGGACCTCATGTTTTTTGCAGGAAATCCTGGTAGGGGCCCTTTCAAGGAAGAGCTGGACAAGTTAGTGGCACCTGGGATTTTTTCCGATGAGTGCCTTGGTCAGGCGCGTTTCTGTAACTCGCGGTGCCACCGAGAGGGGCGCGTGTTGCACTACGTCATCTCGTCAAGGGATCTAAAGCCCAGCCGCGCATGGCGCCCCGACCCCCTGGGTTCTCATCAAGCAAGCCTTTTCACAGCTTCCGACTCTCAGGAAAGCCTGGCCTCGGGAAACTCTCAGATGTCTCAGGCAAATCTCTGGAAGCCGTGCCTCTTGCGCCTGAATTCGCGGCAGGTCACTTACGTCCTCCGTGAGGATGACGATTGTAAGGAAATGCGAGTTCCTTTTGTCTGCATGGATCGAATGGAGGTGTCCAGAGGTTTGCACGAGGACGAATGCCTGCTGACTCTGCACGGCCTCTACGGCACTCCGCAGTCCAGCGCCACTGCTTCGCCACGCGACGCGCCGCACGCGCCGCACGTGAGCCATCACCAAGATCTCGATCCAAGCCGAGATCTCCGAGATCTCCGACCCCTGGCGATGACCCCCCCACCCGCGTCAAGCCCGAGAAGCCCACGAAGTAAAGCACGTAAAGCAATGCCTTTGGTCTTTCGAATCAGTCGGAGGGATGGTGAGGTGTGGGCTAAGGTCATTGAGGAGCACGGCATGTTTACGCCCCCTTTCCACATTTTGCACTACATCGGCGATGTGGCGGACCACCCGCTGCTCCCTGGCGTCGTGTTCCGCCACACGAACTTCACGAACAATCCGACGGACGGCGATCAGCTCTGGCCGGACGGCACGCGATACATCGGGACTTGGCAAAACCACACCTACCACGGCCACGGCCAATTGATCGATCCTGACGGGCACCTCGCCAATCTAAGAATGTGTGTTTCATATTGTGTTTGATTGAATTAACCATGTTTCAACTGACCATGTCGAAAGCTCTCTATCCTCAAAGCTACTTGTCTGGTTTACCACAAAGAGACCTAGCCTCCATTGCCGTGTTAGAACCTGTCAATGAGTCTTGGGTGCCTTTTTTTGACCCCCAGTGGCATTTCAACAAGAAGCGATTTCCACGTTTCGGCGCCCCACAGACCCGCAAAAACAGCAGTAGAACACAAGGCTGAACTTTGGCGGTTTGTTTCTCTTGATGTTGAAACACACCCTTCTGTTTAGAACTTCTGGTTTATTCATAGTAGGGGTGTTTGCATTGGAAAAAGTATGACTTTTCTCCGAACCAACCTAGCAATCATCATCTCTTTATGTTCTCATTCACACACTTCAATAGTGACTTTAGACATCGCTCGGGATGCAAGGGATGCTATTTTGACCCTTATCATCATCAATGAGAGCTTCCAACAATTGCATCATCAATAGTCAGGTCAGACATCGCTTTCGATGCATGGGCGCCATGCTGATAGTTGGCATCATGCATGATGATAATGATAAGTATCATCAATGATCATCGTCATGATGATGTTGACAACTATCATCACAGCATTCCTTGCATCCTCAACGGCGCCGAACATCACAACGATGCTTGATGTGATGATCAATGATGATGACTATCATCAGAGTTACAACCCACAGCATCCCTGCATCCGCCAGGGCGCCGTCACTATTGAAATGCATGTGTAAGACTAAGATAAGAATAAGAATACGATGAGAATACGAGTAAGAAGAGAATAACATAATAAAGAGATGATGATGATCGATGTTGATGATGGTCATCATCAATATAATGACGATAACTTTCAACAACGATCATGATGATGATGATGATGATGATGATGATGACAACTATCATAATCATTCCTTGCATTCCCGACGACGCTGAGCGTCACAACGATGCTTGATGATGATGATGCTGATGATGATGAGGATGATCGATGACAGCTATCCTTGCATCCCCAACGGCGCGTAGCGTCACATGCTTGATGATGATGATGATGATGATCGATGACAGCTATCATCGCAGCATTCCTTGCATCCCCAACGGCGCGTAGCGTCACATCGATGCTTGATGATGATGGTGATGATGATGATGATGATGATGATCGATGACAGCTATCATCGCAGCATCACTTGCATCCCCAACGGTGTGTAGCGTCACATCGATGCTTGATGATCATGATGATCGATGACAGCTATCATCGCAGCATCCCTTGCATCCCCAACGGCGCGTAGCGTCACATCGATGCTTGATGATGATGATGATGGTGATGATGATCGATGGTGATGATCGATGACAGCTATCATCGCAGCATTCCTTGCATCCCCAACGGCGCGTAGCGTCACATCGATGCTTGATGATGATGATGATGGTGATGATGATGATCGATGATGATGATCGATGACAGCTATCATCGCAGCATTCCTTGCATCCCCAACGGCGCGTAGCGTTGATGATGATGATGATGGTGATGATGATGATGATCGATGACAGCTATCATCGCAGCATCCCCAACGGCGCGTAGCGTCACATCGATGCTTGATGATGATGATGATGATGATGATGATGATCGATGACAGCTATCATCGCAGCATTCCTTGCATCCCCAACGGCGCGTAGCGTCACATCGATGCTTGATGATGATGATGATGATGGTGATGATGATGGTGATGATGATGATGATGATGATGATGATTGATGATTGATGATGATGATCGATGACAGCTATCATCGCAGCATCCCTTGCATCCCCAACGGCGCGTAGCGTCACATCGATGCTTGATGATGATGATGATCGATGACAGCTATCATCGCAGCATCCCTTGCATCCCCAACGGCGCGTAGCGTTGATGATGATGATGATGGTGATGATGATGATGATCGATGACAGCTATCATCGCAGCATCCCCAACGGCGCGTAGCGTCACATCGATGCTTGATGATGATGATGATGATGATGATGATGATCGATGACAGCTATCATCGCAGCATTCCTTGCATCCCCAACGGCGCGTAGCGTCACATCGATGCTTGATGATGATGATGATGACGGTGATGATGGTGATGCTGATAATGATGATCGATGATGATGATCGATGATGATGTTCGATGACAGCTATCATCGCAGCATTCCTTGCATCCCCAACGGCGCGTAGCGTGACATCGATGCTTGATGATGATGATGATGATGATGGTGTTGATGATGATGAGGATCGATGATGATGATCGATGACAGCTATCATCGCAGCATTCCTTGCATCCCCAACGGCGCGTAGCGTCACATCGATGCTTGATGATGATGATGATGATGGTGATGATGATGATGATGATCGATGATGATGATCGATGATGATGATCGATGACAGCTATCATATCGCAGCATCCCTTGCATCCCCAACGGCGCGTAGCGTCACATCGATGCTTGATGATGATGATGATGATGGTGGTGATGATGATGATGATCGATGGTGATGATCGATGACAGCTATCATCGCAGCATTCCTTGCATCCCCAACGGCGCGTAGCGTCACATCGATGCTTGATGATGATGATGGTGATGGTGATGATGATGGTGATGATGATGATGGTGGTGATGATGATCGATGATGATGATCGATGACAGCTATCATCGCAGCATCCCTTGCATCCCCAACGGCGCGTAGCGTCACATCGATGCTTGATGATGATGATGATGATGGTGATGATGGTGATGATGATGATGATGATCGATGATGATGATCGATGACAGCTATCATCGCAGCATTCCTTGCATCCCCAACGGCGCGTAGCGTCACATCGATGCTTGATGATGATGGTGATGATGATGATGATGATGATCGATGATCGATGATCGATGATGATGATCGATGACAGCTATCATCGCAGCATTCCTTGCATCCCCAATGGCGCGTAGCGTCACATCGATGCTTCATGATGATGATGATGATGATGATGATGATGATGATGATGGTGATGGTGATGATGATGATGATGGTGATGATGATGATGATGGTAACTATCTTCAGAGTCACAACCACCCTTCCTGTGCGCTTCCCCTTTCAGAGACTGGATCGGCGGATAGCTTGTGTGTTTGCTGCATTCAGCTCTTGATTTCCCCAGTTTCCGAGGCAGATCATCTACAGAGGCCAGTGGTCTCGGGGCATGAAGCACGGCGGAGCTCTTAATCTTAAGCAAATGTGACTCGATGCGACAGTTTCCAGAGCGTTTCCTTTGAGTCTCAAAGTTACTCAAAGTTCAGGTGAGGGCACCTACCGTTTTGTCCAAGAACCATCGGGCTCACGAGCCTACACTGGGCATTTTCACCGAGAGGAGAAGCGTCGAAGCATCACTTTTCACGTTGCCTGACACCGAAGGAGTTCTCGGGTCGCGGAATCCTTTGGGTCGAGGAGGCGAGAGTTTCTTGAGTTCAGTCTTTCAGTTCAAGCCTGAAGAGGACGGCAGCTTGGAGTGGGTGCAGAAGAACCGCCCTGGGGCGCGCTCAATACTTTTTGCGCTTGAAGCGGTTTGTGTTCATAAGATCCCATGAGGCGATTGTCAGATTCGATGGCAACTTCTGCGGGGGCACCGGCCACTCCCAAAGTTCGCAGCATTTGTAGCGGCATTCATGCGATTCAATTTGGAGGTCAGATTGAGCCACAAGATCTCATCACCATCGATCAGCGCACGACCTGCGAAGAGCACTTCCCGTTGCATCCCCAGTCCAACGTGCGACATGTGGGCAGTTGAGGGAAGTTGGCGTGATGAGGTTGCAAACCGGAGGGCCGGGCAGTGAGATGATTCAGACAGTTGCGTCTTGGCACCTCCCGCAGGCCGCAGGGCCCAGGCAAAGCGCCCAAGGATCATGCGGCTACGGCCTCTACTCAGCCAGCTCTGGCAGCTCGCGGCGTGAGTCTGAGGTGGAGATCTATGGCCTTGTCTGACACTTAGACGACTTGGACGACTCGAAATGACTCGTTTTCTTCAAAACAACACTATCGAGACCCAGGATGGAGCGGATTTGCAGCACTGTGGACCGGATGAAGATGCGGAGGATGTGCGTGGGAGACGGGCTATGTGGGATGTGGGTGGGATGCGCACGAGAAGCGCGGACGCGCGGAGTCGACTCCAGATTTGGTACGCGGATGGGACACGGTACCGCGGGCCTTGTCTTGCAGGGGCGCAGGCCTCGGATCGGATCGGCGTCTCGCAGGCAACTGAGGCCGTCTTTTTTTTCACCCGAGGCCGTGCCGCATGGCAACGGCGTCCTGTGGGAAGTGGAGGCAGAGGGATGCCGAGACGGAAGAGAGAGAGAGAAGATGCCGAGCGAGGCCGGGCTTTGCTTCGAGGGTGGCTTCGATCACGGTCTCCGCCTTCCCACGGGCAGAGTAAGCCTGCGCAATGGCCTGCGACCCAGCGCTCGATTGATGCGGCTTGATGCTCCCGCTCTATCGAGGCGTCGTCTATGAGGGCGAGTTCTCGCAGAAAGGCGGTCGGTCAGCGGCGTAGTCTATGTCTCCGAGTCGCACGTGCCACCACTCTTAGGTTTCTGTTTGACGGATGCTCGGCGTGTGCCAACATGGGGCATGTTCCGTTCCGACCCAGGCTCAAATCCAAAGTTCAGCCCTTTTGAGACAGCGGAACGCGCAGACCGCGAAACAACGCACGAGAGTTTACAAGTGTTAACCCACGTATCTGCAAGTATTGACAAGGACATTGCACGCATCACCGTTGCCAGTCAAGTCCCTCATGTCGTGCCAGCTGAGAACACCACTGGCCTGGCCGGAGCACAGATTCTGGAGGTTGGGGCCAGTTTTCCAGGCAAAAGCGTCAAAATGCGTCAAAGCATGTCAGACACGTTTTGTTTTGGAACGTCAGTTGCCCAAGCCGAAGCGACTGAGGACTGGCGCAAGAAAGCATTGCGTGAGCGCGCCTGCCGGAAAATTCATTTTGAGAATTCGCTGACACATGCCACGTGTTGTGCTTTTGGGGGCTTTGGGGGAGAGAAGGGAGAAAGGCAGTGTTGACGCAATCTGGAAGGTTCGGGCTCTTCAGGCTCTCTCGAAGCTTCTGGCTGCGCAAATCCGGAGGAAGAACCTAAGAAAGGAGAAAAGCAGAATGAACAAACAAGAAGCAGCTGCAACTCCAGAGTCTCGGGAAAGGTAGGCTGACATTCTTCCTCGCTCCGTATGTTTCCCTTTTTCCCTAGGTTGTTTTTAGTGGTTAATGTGTTGTTGTTCGTTTGTTTAACTTTGCTGTTTCGGAGAAGGGTGAGAGTAAGTAAGCCCTGTCTAGCTCAAGGGCTAGGGCTAGCTAGGTTCTGGCCCAATGCCTGTTGGGTGGGGGCGGGGTGAGTCCCACTGCCGGGGGTATCTTATCCCAGTAGGGAGCCGATACCTTGTGGTAGTAGAGGATCGTATATGTGGTCCCTGCATCTATCCCGCAGGAGATCCAATATATGCCAATATGGAGTGCAAGAGAATGGATAGTCCCTGGTGACTTTGGTTTGATGTAATACCTGCGAAAGCGGTCTGCAAGCCTTTTATCAATGCATCATGAGTTTGTAAAGACTATGTACACAAAAAGGGCCTTGAGCCAAATGTTGCATGGAGATCAAGATATGAATCAAACACAGGGGAGGGGGGGGGACCCCGAATTTTAGCTGGGGCTTGGGACTATCTCCAACGTGAACCAGTGAAGGTGTGGGTGTGATCTAGAACTGACGGGGGGTGCGCGATATCTGGGAGATGACGGACAGATCATACGAAGTCCCGTAAACATGTCGTCATCGAGGAGTCCTGGGACTGGAACAGAAGAGGCGCATAGTTGGAGAAAAGGGAGATCCCACAACCCTCGGTGTTGAGGATGAGGGCAGCAGTTTGAGAAGAACGGGTGAGAAAATCATGAACATACGGCAGACAAGGCGTCTCCTGAGAAGAGACGCTGCCAATGCTAACAAATAATAGGATGGGGCTGTTCATGGGCCTCGGAAAGCGTGTCAAGCTTGGCCAGTCCCACCAGGCTGGAAATTGATCAGGCCCTAGGGGGCCTAGTGAGTCCTAAGGAGTTTTCCAAAGTGATGTGTGCCAGTCGAGGGTGAACTTCCCAATCTCTTGAAGGAGGTTCTCCAGCTACGGCGAGTCTTTGCGCTGCGTACCCCTTAATATAATTTATATGGGGGTGAGTCTTCCGGCACCCTTTCTGTTGTATCACAGAAGTGGTCGTTTCCCACAGCCCTAAAATTATTTCTTGGACTGTCGAGGAAATCTGCAGCAAAAGGGTGCCCCAAAATGTGGACGTGATGCAGCTGACCGGTTATAACTGCTGGCCGAAAGTTTCATAAACGCATTGAGTGTGCGCTGTACTCTTCCAACTAAATGCAGCTGCTGTGCCACAATCTGTATTGTCGTCTGTGCATGGGGTCAGCCATGGTGCCATGAGGTCGACTGTCGTCTCGTCCTTGTTTGTTGAACCGTGTTTGTGCGCACCTGCTTGGAACATGCGCACAGCTTCAACGTATTGTGCATTTGCGTGTGTCAGCCAGCCCTGCTGGAAAAATGTGGCGAATACTGCTAAGACATCGGGGCAAAATGCGAGTAATTTGCAAAACACACACACGCAAATATACGGGAACTACATGGAAATCAACGCCACTTAATCCGCGCACTCTTGTGACTTGAGAATGCGCAATTATTTTTCTCCCCCTACACACGTCAGTCCCTCAAAAATGCGCTCAGAGGTAGCCTACAAACTAAAGTCATGCGAGAGTTCGTGCCCTGCATCTCTCACTTGCACATGATCTCGCGTGGGTGCTTTGGGTCCAATGCCCAACTCATTTTGTGATGGAACCATAGTTAGTTTCAAGCACTTCAAGGCTCCCAAAGGACCAGGAATCTAGAGCCGAGATTGCGCAGGACCCTTCCAATCAAAAGGTTGACCCAGACACACGCGAGGACCTTGAGGACCTTGGCAATGACAGACGGCGCCGGGCGCGTCCTGTCCGCCTGCGCTGGCTCTGTGGCTTTTGCCTTAGTGCATGTTCCACATGCACAGTGGCATTCGTGGCGTTCTGTGCCTTTTGCCTTAGAACGCCTTTCGCGGTTTCGTCTCTTCTGAGGCTGTGGGCCTCATCGTGACACCTTTGGATGTTGCAAAGGCGCGCCAAGTCGCAAAGTCAGATGTCTCAAGCGTCTCAAGCGTCTCAAGCGTCTCAAGGCCGGCATGCCGATGCCGGGAACGTGCCCAGGTGAGGATGCAAGCCCACACGGACGTCAGCGACTGTCGTCCTTGCGGTGGCGGTCCTGGCGGAGCTGGCGTGAAGCTACCTCGAGACTGCCAAGTGTTCCTTTGCGGGAACGGCATCACAGACCACACCTTCGATCGTCGAGATGCCAGCTTTCGACATTGCTTCACGGAAAGTGGAAGATCTCGAAAGACTGGGCTGATCAGAACCCTGAGGAGTATATACTCAGAGGCTGGTGTGGCAGGGCTTTATGCCGGGCTGCCTGTAACCATGCTGATTGCTGTTCCAGCCAATGTGCTGTACTTTGCTACTTATGAGTCCATGCGAGACTGGTTGCTGCCTCGTGTGCCACACTCAGGTGGGGGGCTGCGTAAACAAATCACAAATCACTCGGCGTTGCTGTCTTGCTTCTTGGATGTTGTCTTTCGACGCGTTGTCTTCAAAACGGTCCTGCTTTCCGTTTCCGTGTTCTGAGCACCGCCCTTTTCATTCGCCCGTCTTGCACCTTTTCTTCCGTCCTTTCTCCTTTTCCGTCCTTCCCTTTCTGTTTGTCTTCTCTTGTCTCTTTCCTTTCATTTGTGTCTTCGTCTTCAGACTCCGAAGGAGTCTGGGCGCCGCTTCTTGCCGGAGGTGTTGGCCGTGCTGTGGCGGTGACGGCCTGCGCTCCGCTGGAGGTGGTCCGCACACGTGTCCAGGACAGAAGAGAAGGCAAAAAGACGAGAGCGAGAGACGAAGAGAGAGCAGAGTGAGACTCGGAGAGCCAAAGTGAAGCTTTGCGCCACAGCTCTCTTGATTCTCTTCCTTACCCGTTATTTGCTTTGCTGCTACTTTGAAACTACCTGCTTTCGTTTCTGCATTCTGCTTGCATATGATATGTCACTCTTGTATGCTTTTGCCAGCTCCTTTCTGCAACTTCTACGTTACAGACAGGACAGCACACCATACAGCTCGATGTTGGAGCGCCTTATCACGTATCAGTTGTTTCATGTTATTTCATGGCCAAAGCAAAAGCGTGTGCGTAAGCACAATAGGTGCATAGCAAGATGTTTCTGCCTTGTCTTTTTCCGGCTTGCTCCTTTTTGGTTTCCACTCCATTGCGTACCCCCCCCCCAGGCTGGCCTTAACAGCGACCAGCCCGGCCAGAGCAGATCAGCCTTGAAGGACAAGGGCTTGCGCGTCGCTTCTCTCCTTTTCTTTTGATTCTCTCACAGACTGCGGTTCTTCATCTTGAGGACATCCTGAGAAATGAGGGGCCCAGAGCGCTGTTCCGGGGCCTGGAGAGCACGCTGTGGCGCGACGTGCCCTTCAGCGCGTTCTATTGGCTTGGGGTGGAACAGGTGCGAGATCAGTTGCTGAAACGCGGTCGCAGCCTCAGACGCGCTTAACGCGTGAGCTTCGCGTCGAAGCTGCCATTGTGCGAGCTTTGCATTCCCTCTACCCCAAGAGCCTAAAAAGATGCAAACGAAGAGCCCGGTTTTGAACCTGTTGCTTACCAATAACGCGGCTTTCCAACCAAAGCATGGTTTCTCTTTCAAAAACACGTACAAAAACCATACAAAACCCATACAACCCCCATACAAACCCCATAGGTTTGTATGCTTCTCCAAAAGCCAGGTTTTCCTGCAAAGAACCGGGTTATTTTCCAGAATTAGAAAAACGGTTCTTGGAGTAGGTTGCCTTGAAGTCCGCAAACGTTGCAAGGCGTCTCGATTTCGCTGAGGCTTGTGGAAGGAGTCCCAGTATCAGTTGCCGGGTGTGGCGCTGCTGGCGAGCTCCGTGGCGGGGGCTGGCGCCGCCTTTGTCACCACCCCGTTCGATGTGGTGAAGACCCGACGCCAAGTCTCGAGCGAGAGATCCCATCCCGGACTTTGGCAAGACCTCACCTCCTTGGCCCGGAACGAAGGCGCTTCGGGGCTTGCAAGTAAGCAACATGCAAAGCAATGTTGATTGTTACGAGTTAAGCAACATAAATATCTATTGGTTTCAGTATGCGTCAGTTATCGTGTTGGCATGCATGCTCATGCGAATTTGCGCACGCTCAAACCCATTTGCAAGGTGTAGCAGCGCTCTTCACAGGTAGCACCCCACGGGTGATACGAGTGGCTCCAGCTTGCACCTTGCCATATGCAAACGCATTTTGATAGGGAGCCACCTCAAAGTTGGTTCCCACCGAAACGATGTCCACCAAAGGGCCCCCCCTTAGCTTCACGCCCATATGTGGCGATGCTTGACGCATCGGATTCATTGTGCTATTCATCCAAGGCAGCATCATGCTGGGGAACCGCTCTCAGAAACAGACTTGCACACAGAGTCCAAAGTTCAGCACCAAGGACCTACGAGCTGTCCAAGCAGTGGTTCCGATTAGATTAGAGAGAGCTCCAAAGGAGCCGCATTCCCATCCGGGGTTTTGACCGACTCAAATTCGGTGCATGCCGTCAAAGGATGTTCAAATTTTCAGTCGAGGGCCTCGATTCCAGTAGGCTGCAGCGAGATCGATTCGCTTCGATTCGCTTCGATTCCTGGTGCGCCTTGAGCCTTCCAAAAGACCATCACGTTGCGGACGTTACGCGCCAGTCGCGCGTTTCGCTGTGCCTTAGCCCTTCCACGCATTGGCTTTCGGGCTGAGGCGTCATGGCTATGGCCGGACGGACATCCCCGACAGCCTGCAGCAGCGCTTAGGCCAAGTGCTTGGCAAAGTGTCAAGTGCCAACATCTGCACGTGCACTAGTGATCACTAGTGCTTAGATTCCGATCGGGCTATATGTAACACAGTTGACACGTTTCGGGTGTTCACGAATAGCTCTTCGGGCTGAAGGGCATCTGAGCTATCTATCTGAGATCGGAGATCTCATTTCACGAACGGAAGGTGAAGAGCTCAAACTTTGGTCTGCCGGTTTCGAAGTGAACGAGGCTTCCAAGTGCATGAGGGCCATTACCGCGACGGATTGCGTCACGGCCACGGAGAGGCTGAATCTGAAGCATTGTGTCCAGTGAGCACAGTGAGCACTGAGTGCAAGTGCAAGCGAGTTTCGAAGTTGCCATGAGACAAAAAGGAATGGACAGGAATGGTCAATAGGAAACGAAATGAAGAGATCTGCTTGCGTGTTTTTTTCTGCCAGATGCTCTTCGCGGACGGAACGCTTTACAGGCGAATGGAGTTGACCGGAGTTTTCAACCTCGTGTATATGGTAACCGGTAGTGTATAAGTATATATACAATGGTATATATATATATATATGCATTATTTTACATGTATATAATTTTCTATAATACATGTAGTCTTTTGTTTCATGCCTTTCACTTCTATCTTTTCTTTTTGTGTTTGAAATTGTTCCCTCGTTTTTTTTGTTATGTTATTCTGTTCGGTTCCGGTTGCGAGTCGCGAGGGGAAATTTCGAGAACAACCGGCGACATGGCCATGGTCACTACAGGCGCGACACGCTGCGAGCGCACCGAGTGTCGCCTTTGTTTGTCTTGATCCGTCTTTCTTGTTTTTGTTTTTTCTTTTATTGGCCTTCTCTTTCATTTAATTCTTGTATTTCTTGTCTTCTCTCTTTAAAATGTATTTCCTTTAATTTCCTTGAACATTTCCTGTTCTTTCCTTTCTTTCCTTCTTTCTGAGCCTAGGAACACCAACGGCAGCCTGGAGCCCAGAACGGACCCCTGAACTTCTGAACGCTTCCCACAGATTCGACTGTGTTGTCGTCAGCTCCCATCTTCACCGGGCCGTGGCACAACGATGAGCCGGGCACCGGAAATGCCGATGTACTGTATCCTTCAGGAGCTATGCAAGCCGCTTCAAGCCATGGCACAGATTGAGAAGCAGCCCAAAACACGGCGACTGCGAAGGACATCGCTACAAGGGCCAAGTTTGTGACGGCTGTCGTGATGGCAAAGGATCGCTATGGCATGAGAGCCTGTAACCTCAGAAGGAGTCGCAGTGTCTCGAGCAGCTCTGCATTGCTTGAGCTAAGATTTCGATGGTGATTCTGCCTTCATCTACTCTGGCCAGTGGGAGGCAGCCTCTTTCAACTTGTCCGTGTTGCATCACGTTGCCCAGAGGCAGATGAAATGCACGGCAAGGGAGAGCTACATTGCAGCGATGGAATCTACCGTGGACAGTTTGTGCGCGGCGCTCGATCACGCATATCGCATCCCAACAGAGCAAAGGGACATCAAGAGACATTGGCCACATTGCAAAGCCAAGGAACGGTGTCCGCGAGGGCAAGGGTCGTTTCGAGTATGCAAGCGCCGCAAGCCTAGCACGGAGCCGCTGAACATTGTTAGGCACTGCGATTGAGACAAGTGTGGCAAGTACTGTATGACAAGTGTGTGTGACAAGGACGGCTTCAGTTGCTACGAAGGGCATTGGGAAGAGGACCTGGCTTGGGCTTGCATTAAACATGCTTGCTTGAACACAGGACCAGCCCCACGGTGTTGGCAACTTTGTAGATCAGCATGGAGAGTACACCGCGCTTGCCTCATTGAGCGCGAGTGGCTCGAATACTTACGACTTAGGACAAGGAGTTCTTCGAGGGCGAGATGATGGGCCGCTTCGCCAGCAGGTGTCTACCTCAGAGACTCCGGCGCTTCCGCAAGCGCCGCATGCGCATGCTGCGCACGCGCGCCGCCAATCTCAGGTCCCGCAGCCTCTTCAAAGTGAAGCCCTCGCCGACGCCTCGCGATCGAGTGGCTCAAATGCCCAACGAAAGTCTCAGGACAAAGCCGAGCACGAAAGTGTCTCCAGGTTCGAAGGGCGGGAAAAGAAGGAAGCAAGGCGTGAAGGGACGTTTCCATCACAGGACCTCACAAAGATCTGCCTCACGCCGGCATGGTTTGCCAGAATGCTGGTCTCCTGCCTCAAGAGGACCGCACGCATCTCCGGAGCATCGCTTCGCATTACTTCGCTTAGGAGCCATCCTTCACCCGGGCCATCGACGTGGGCAGTGGCCTGGCGAACGCCCGCACACACCCTGCCCACCGACCCGCCCGGCACCTGGCGTCGGACGGCCGTGCGTCACAATTGGACGACGCAAATGGATGCAAGTTGCGAAGAGTTGCGACGGGTTGCGAACAGTTAAGACTTAAAGAGAATAATTAGAGAAGTCAGAGAGAGTCAACGGACAGATTTCGCCAAGTCCGTGGGTCTGCGATGGGCTTGACGGTGAGCTTCCCCTCCAAAGTGAGAGGTATGCGGCAAAGTTATTCAGTGAAATTGCCGCTTGCAAATGCAAGCGCAGAAAGGGGCGGGCCAGGGGCGAAGCATTGCTCAAGCATGATGCTTCCTAGTGCGCAAAGTGCATGGGCACGTCAAAGAGGTTCAAGCACTTGGCAATTGGCAGTTGAATCCTCACTCCAAAGAGCCACACAGTCTTTAGTTGCTGGCAAGAAACCCTGAATTATTCTCTCAGGCATGCGGTCGTGTTTTTGGTAGTACTGACACTTATTGGGGCCAGCGTGGCGATGGAAAGCCAGGTGGGGATTGCAGCGGGTGCAATGCTTATACTTGCGCAACGATGCACAACCTATCCCGAGGAAAGGGATGTCGCAGTCGGGGCCTACTTGCGCGTTGCACCGTCGCACAAGTTCGGTGGCACTCGGATGGACGGGACATGTCTCGTTTCGGTTCGGAGAGTGCAATTCGCGTAGGCTCGTCGCTCAGGGCATCGTGATCGCCTCCTTAGTGCTCTGCATCTCATGCTGCTGCTGGAGCCCCGGGTTCGAATGCGTCGGACATAGAGTTAAAAAGTTAAAACATCCGTGTCAAATCGAGTCCGAATCCTGTGAGATTCCCAATATCCCGATAGGGGAGGCACTCGCATTTTCCGTTCCCGATCCCGCATTCGAGCAAGACTTGCCTCTGGAACTTCTCCGGCTTGAGAAGAGCCCGTGTTCTTGTTTGGTGTCAGCATGTTGCACATAGCTTGAGGGTAACCTATTTGGCTCAAGGAAGAAAGAAGCGCTTGCATCGACAGGTGTGAATTTTCACCCCAACCCCCATCTCAATTTTGCATTGTTTGCACTTTGTTTGCACTTTGTTTGCACTTTGTTGTACTTTGTGGCATTGGTTGCATTGTTTGGCACTTTTTGTACTTGTTGCATTTGTTTGCACTTTCTTGCATTTGCTTGTGAATATTCACAACACACCCCATCTCAATGTTGCACGTTTTTGCATGTTTGAGTAAAGCATGTGGAAACATGAAAATGCGTGCCCGGGACGTGTGCCTGACATGGAGTTCAACTGCAAACTTCTGCACATGAATTTGATGTTTTTGCATTCCCAGTACTAAAAGTACTTGTGCTCTGTACACAAGCTGTGTGCTTTTTGAGCGCTGTTCAACTTCAAGTCTCTGCATATGAACATGATATTTTGCATTCACAGTACTAGCAGTCCCTGTGCTATACGCCAGTTCTGCTTGTTGAGTGCAGATTCTTGCATCAGTCCAGCGCATTGTGTGAACAGTTGCACCTCAGTGAGCGATGTCAGTGGGGTGTCAGGGGAAGTGCTTGGGCAGTGGATGCAGGAACTTGTGGGCAAATGGTGCCAATGTCTGAGCTGCTTCATTGCCCATAATGGCTACCTTTCTTGAAGCCCAGTCATGTTGGGATAGCCTGCGGTTGGCATCTGCGCTTCCCGCAGACGCTGTGCAATCATGTTTATGCGGCTTGAGCTTGCAAAGGCGTTGAACTTGATGGCTGTCTTGAAAGGACGAGTTCTTGTTAGTTAGTTGGTAGTTCATATGCCTGTAGCGATTTATGCTGATACATTGTAAGTTAATTGGTCATTGTGAGGATTAGTGGGTAACCTGATTCTGTTTGTTCGACGGGCCCATATCACGTGCATTGTGATGTTGAGAGCAGACATGCTTTGTGACTTGAAAGCAGTCAAGCCATAAACCGCGCAACGTCGGTGACCTTCAAGATTGGCCCAGAGACATTCGACCCAGGCTGGGGCTGCCAGTGGGTGACAGTTTGCGCGCATCTTTGAGGTTGGAGATCAAGGAGCGGCCCTGGTGGCGAGGGAAAACGCGCGGGAGGGGAGTCCATCAAGACAAATGGTAGGGGAAGCCAAAAAAGCATTGCGGGACGCTGCGAACGCCGTCATCCTGCACCTAGGCTCCGACCCTGGCTTGGAACGCTTCGGCAACAACATGTCTTCATTGTTGTTCGCGCTTTCCTGCGGCGCTTGCCGACCTGATGATCAATGTATCCCGAAGCTTTGTCCAGCGCGGCAACCACGTCCAGGATGAGCTGCTCAACAACCCGCGCTTGGAGCACAGTCCTCAACTAATGCCCAAAGGGTCAAGATCTTTGACGCTTGCTTTGGCACAAGTAGCCTGAGTCACATGGCAGCACAGCGGGCCTGGTTGACAGGGCAGAAGATGGAGTGGTATTAGAGCCAGGAATGGCGCAATGTTGACTGGACTCAATCCCAGTCATATAGCGTTAAGGTGAAAAATGGGTTGAGCGAACGGGTTTTGTGAGTGGTACCAATATGTGTTGGGAGTGGCTGTGGCCCGACGCTGCAAGCTGGCAAGGTTGCCCATCATCGTGCGCTGTAGGTAATCCATGGTTGGTGAACAAGGTGAAGTGTCGCGCAGAGATGAAGTTGTCTGCTAAGTGTGGGCAGAGACCGTGAAGCTCTGCCTTCACCAGTTGCCTATATGAGGCTGGCCAAGAGTTGGGGGTCTTGTTGTCAGGATGTGTGCCTGATATGCAAGTGCAGTTTTGGCTGGACCACGCCGGAGATCAACTGATATGCCAAACTGAGTTTTACGCTCTACTTGTCACCAAGCTTTTCATTGGCCAACGAACGGCAAGCGTGTCACCTCCTTCATAGATAATGAAGCTGCACGTATGACTTTAGTGTCAGACACTTCCCCTTCTAAGACCACGCGGGCCCTTGCCAGACCAATGCCTGCCCTGCTTTGTGGTGGTATGAAAGGGTGCCAAGTGAATCAAACTCTGCAGACCCTCCATCCAGAAACGTGGATAAGGAAGCTTGTGCCCGGTCTGGGCTGGCCACGTGTGCAACCTCAAGGCAGTGCCAGAGATGCGCGTCCGTCGCTGAGGACACGGGGGAAAACCACGGGCGACTAAGCACGATCACCTTGGATAAATGCAAGGGGGGGGTTTTGGTCCCCGTCGATCTGGGGCTGAGGCTGAGCCTTGGCGCGAAATTGCTCTCCCATCTTGTACTCCTTCCGGCACCCAGCAAAGATGTCCGCAAATAGTGCTCAACCTGCAGCTTCAAGGCCATGAACGTAGCTTCCCCCGAGAAAAGATGCGTGATGGGAAAGGCCCACACAACCTTGCCCTCGAGGTCGCACTTCCTTCGGCGGCAACGCAGGGCCACGTGTGTGGCCTGTGTTAACCCTCCATTAGAAAGCACTTGGCAAGGAGTAGATGTGTTATGCGCCACCGCTGAGCTGCAAGATGGGCAAAGGGGTTGCGATTTCCACAGCAATTGGCCGCGAGAGCTGGCCGGCCAGACTGTCTACTACAGCTGGCGGCACAAAGGCGCTGCGCACACAACTCGGCGCAACATCATGCTCGGAATTCTGCAGCACGCAGCGAAAGTGACAAGGACTGATATTGTTCGCGCTCACAGTGCCAAGGTATGTCAACCTGGCCTCTACATGCGCATGCTTGAACCGGGGCTGGCCGAGCAACCATTCTTGCAAAAACAGTTGGGAGAGCAAGGCGCAAGCCCATGAAGGAACCTGGTGCTGCGTGGCGCTGCTGATTAGAGTTTGTCGAGCTTCGCGGGACAGGGCCAGGCCCAACGCGCGGAACCTTACAAGAAGGTCCGTAGTCGCTTGCCGGTCTTTTTGCGGATCTTTCGTGAAACTTGCCCGAAAACGCTTCAGCCGGTGTTAAGGCCCATCTAAGACGGCAAGTCAAGGGTGCAAGCCAAAGGCCCTGCGAACTGTCTACAAGAAAGTGGGGCCTGCAAGCAGGACTGAAAAAGGCCCTGGTCTACAAGGGAGCGGGGCCTGCAAATATATACAAGTGCGCAAGCGTGCTTCCACAAGAACCTTCAAGGTTGTGACTCTAAGTTAAAACTCCTTACAAGGGCCTGAGCCGCCGCCAAACTCCCCCAAGACGCGTGTCTGCCAAACACCTGAAAAAGGCGCCCTCGTTTTGCAGCGCTTTTGGTCGCGCGCGGCGCTTGCATTCCATGTGTGATATCAACTTGCTCCTGTTGTCACCGGCTAGGGTCACTATTGGCAGCCTGTTCTTTGCTAGTCTTGGCTCACTCGGACACTGCAAGTTTGTTTCAGCAACATCACCTGGTATCATGACACCATGTGCTACCCAACACTTCACAACCACACAATCTACACAAAATCCCCTTGCGTTACATTCATAAACCAAAGCTGATATATCAGGGCCGCTTCAACAATACAAATACAACATGCCGAATCGTATCGTTGCGTATTGCGAGCTATTGGTCTCGAAAAGCAAGTTTCGCAACCTCAAATCGCATCGAAGACTATCGATGGAAACCGTTTTGAATCATACCGATTTGTTTCGCGCGGACTGAGATTACTTCAAGCCGGTTCCATATTGCACATTTACGGCTGCAACCATCCGAGGCCAGACGACAACCTAACTTGGCAAGTTAGATCGTGCTCTGAGGGTTCCCGCGCCCCAAGGCTCATCCGCAACAGCTGCAACCATCCGAGCCCAGAAATCAACTTAATTCAGCGAGTTTAGATCTGCCTTCCACTTGTTCAGAACTCATTCGAAACAAAAAGGAAACTGAGAATCAACTTACCCGACAGGAATCGATTTCCGCTTCTCTGGAAACCGGCCCACCAGCCGGCCTCTTGTGGCAATGCTGCGCAGCAGGCCCCCGCACCAGCGGTTGACCGTGCTTCCTTATTGAGATATTGCTCAATACTGAGGTGCTGTGTCGCAAGCGTATCAGACATTCAAAGCACCACATACCACAAAAATCGAGTGGTGTCGCAAGCTCACAGTACAGCCCCGTATCGTCATCGAAACAGCCGTGTATATTATTCAACACGTGCTAAATATAGATAAGTTCAACATAATTTGAACTCGGCATATGTTCTTACATATGCATCATCATTTATATTTTATTTAAAAAGAAACAACGGATAACCTGAGATAGGCTCTCCTTAGCACCCACAAAATATACATTCATACATAAAAACTAATACTATTTAAACATTCGGTTGGTATATGATGCTAGAACTGTAATTATAAGTACTGGTTGTATAAAAAAAAATACACG